CTGACCAAACATATTTATTGGATAGACATAAAGTTATGTATTAAAAAAAGTGTAAGAATGTGTTATTTGTTAATGACATAAATTTGAAACTCTCTCACTAGTGGGGTTCCTTTAGCCACGATTGATCTCAATCAGATTTGAAAATATATTATTATAGATTTTATCAAATGTTTGTCTAGATCCAAAGGCTACAACACTATATTGATGGCCATTGATAATTTGAGTAATGTTTTCATTTCTCTTTCCTCATACAATTTTTCACAATTGAGAAGGTTATATAATTGTTTATTTAAGAAGTTTTTCATTTTTATGAGATTCTAGAATTCATTATCACTAACTTAAGTAGGTTATCTCTTATTTATTTTTTGAAAAAAAATCAAAATATATGAAATAAGTTTAACATGACACATAATTATTATTTATAAAATAGGCAAACAAATTTAGGTAGTGAATATTTTTTTGGAAGCTTGTTTATGCTAATTCAACTCCAACAAATAAAAGAAATAGAATCATTGACTACCATGGGTGGGATGTTGTACAATATTGTATTGCATGCATCACTAATAAAACTTTATTTAAGGTAGTTTATGGTCAAGTTCTTCTAACATTAGTCTTTAGTTGATTAACAACAAAGTAATTCTGGTGGAATGATAATTAAAAAAGAAAAGATGAAATTCTTCAAAAATTAAGATAACAATTGACTAAAGTTAGTAAAAGATGAAGACACAAGTGCAATAAATGTAACTTACTCTAAGAGGGGTATGAGGTTGGGTGTATTATGTGATGATCTAGTTAAGGGTAACGAAGCAAATCATTAAGAGAGAAAGTATGTTATTAAGATATGAGAAAATATGAAAAAGGGGAGGAATGAATTGTAGGCAATGGCTTGTAGGAGAGAAATAGTTATGTTGAGCAACTACCACAACAACTCTTTTATTTTAAGGTTTATCTTTTAGGTCAAATTATAAACTTTAATTTCCTATTTATGTGTATATTAGGGTCCTATCATAACTCTTTATTTCTACTTATTATTCTAATTTATTATTTGAAGAAATTAGAAACACAATTACCTAAAAAATAAGGGAAAATGAATAATCAAAAAACTTTTCATCAATTTGATATTTTTTACTTTCCACAATGATAGATTGTCAGCCCTACCAAAAAAAAAATATGATGAGATCAAATTGGTTGGAATCTAATATATGTGATAATTGAGAAATACTATACATAATTTCATGACTTCTAGGACTAAGTGATAACCTATGGTGACCACATGATCTAGAAATATAGGTATGTGAACATTGTTAGATGATTTTAGTCACATTTATGTTCTAAGAAGTAACTCTCAAGGATGTGTAGTTTATGAGAGATCAAGAACCTACAACTTGGGCTAGCTTCTAGGGGAGTTTGTTAGGGGTTCGAAGGATGTTCTTAATGATCCCTAAGGATCAAATATTTGATTGATATGACAAAGATAATCTGCTATAAAATAGAACTTTCTCCTTTTTAGATGGTCATTTTTATGTGGGCATCAATTAAACCTACTATATTTCTCAATGTGGAGAGGAGATGTCATAAAATTCATTTGGATATTATTTAATATTCCTAGGTTCCCTTGAAATTTTTGCTGTTGTAGAAACACAAGGCCAATGAAAGAATGGATGGTGGTCTTAACTTGATATTTTTATTTTTTATGATTAATCTCTGAAGTCTGAATTTGTTTTATACGTTGACACCTGCGAATGCTTCATATGTTGTAACATATCCAATGAAAATATTGAGGCTCTCCGAACCCTAAGTTACGCAACAGATCTAATGAAAATATTGTTGTGGTTTCGACCTTATCAAAGAACTGAACATCGATGATAGTTCTAGTCCGGCATTTTTATTCACATGTCTGCATTCTATCAACTCTGTCTAATTTTCTTAATTTTTATCCACCTAAACATACCATATAACCCAGAGAAATAGTTTGGTGGTTAGAAAAGCTAATGACTTCTGAATTTCCTTGATAAAGAATAAATTGGCGACAACTGGTCGAGTCTCTTGAATAAATCCTTTTGCAGCAAGGTTTTCTGCATGCCTGAATCTCGGATCAGCATTTCGTTCCATCGTCAAGACCTCTGGTTTTCGCTTTCTCCAACCTGGCTTTTCTGGATGACTAAGATCTCCCTCCACCTGCAAGCAATCATATTCGAGTCAGCTCCTGTTCCCAACCAACGACTACCTTGTGGAGCAGGCGCGAGAAGTCTTCGACTACTCACCGACTCTCCCAAGGAGATTAGTTGGAGGGTCTTCCTCGCTCAAGAAAAACGAAGCAGTTCCTCCACAACAAAAGAAAAGGAAATCTTTTCAATTCAGCGATAATCTTCACGTCGCTTTCTTTGATACCAGACTCGAGTGGGTGGGGGGGTTGTGTGTGGAGAGCCCGCGAATTCTAAGGAAAGCGAGGGGAGAGAAGGAGGCTCCGCAATACGGTACTTCCGATTGAAGATGATTCCTCCCCGTTTTGTCTCCCCCCTGTGCGTCTTTTTCTCAGCTCTCGCTGTCGCACGAAGGGTTTCGATCGTTGCGGCGTCGCTGTCCTCTAAGTCGCTCTGGAATCCCGGCGTACTGTCTTCTCCTCCGGCAAACCTGCCTGCTCCCGGCGGCACCGCCGGTGAGTCTGGCAAACCAGAGATTTTAATATGGTGGTCGGGGAATTCAAGTGCTGGCGGTGGTGGGCCGGCTGCCACCATCTCGCCCTCCCCGGGGGGAAGTGACCACCATGAAGAAGAGCTCAGGCCTGCCTGCGTCTTTCCAGCCGAGACGTGGGGTCCCGCGGGCGGGCACGAAGGGCGTGGGGCTCTAAAGAAAGGGAAAGGAAGGGGGGGTGGTTGCAGGGACCAAGTCTCATGGGATGCCGACCCCTCGCCGCCATTTCTTGGAAGAGAGAGAGAGAGAGAGAGAGAGAGAGAGAGAGAAAGAGAGAAAGAGACGTCAGCAAGTCCGACGTCTTACCTTCATCTGCGAGAGACACCTGAAAGCTCAGCGGTCGTCGGCAGGGAGAAGATCCCCACTCGGCACTCGCCTTATGTACGAAGGAAGGCCTGACTTGGCCTCCGAGTCATCGAAATCATCCCCCCCGACAGACCGCTCTGGAGAGTCCCCGATGACAGGGTGGTCAGTCAGAAATTTAATGCGGGCCCTTTTTTTTGAAATCCGCTATATTTTCAGGGTTAAAAAACCGAAATTTACTCACCATCTCTCGTCATAGTGGGTCCTGACGTTCCGCTCCACCTGACAGGGGAGGAGGAGGCTCCGTGCTGAGAAGCAAGGGGGTGGGGGGATTGTACGTCCCAAAATCCAAGCAGGAAACACCGAGCGAGCGAGAGAGAGAGAGAGAATGATGGGAATATTGAACGCTTTTTCTTTGAATGGAAGGGGGGGGTGGACACTTCCCCACAGATTCCCCATCACCACCTTTTTTCCTAGCTCCGACCATCACCTTTCGGTTGCCCCTCGACCCACCCCTTCTTTAGTGGCGCCGTCCTCCTGCAGTCCATAAAGGGGGGCGCAGGCAACGAACGAAGATCTGCTCACCGTCTGAGGTTCGGGACTTCCGCCTTCTCTGTGCCTTTTGCTCTGCTTTCCTCTGTTCTGTGGGTGGGTGAGACCCGTGAATGTTTTGGATGAGGAATTCTCGATGATCAGGCGTTCAAAGAGGACGAATGAGAGAGGAGACGTGGAATTGAGGAGCGTCGTCTCCTGTTGAAATGGCCAAATTAGGTATGCTGTGTAGTTTCAAGCAGCATGCATGCAGGGCATTGGGACGGCGCCATGCCCACATTTGCCAGGAGTGATGTTTGGGGAAGAGGTCCTCGCTATCGTAGACGAGAGTTGGATTGGCGCTCTCCTTCAAAACCCTGCGACGTCACGCCAGGAAATGAATGAGGAAGGACTTGTGAGGTTTCCCTGCGGCGGTTCCGGTGATCCCGCGTTGCAGATTCAACGAAGCGGAGCCTGAAATCATAGCTCGCTCTGAAGGGTACCTGATTTTGATTCCGATTTGTGTCGATCTCCGTCTCCGGAGTTTCTCTCAGAACCAGAAGAGCGGGAGTTGCCAAGCGGCCGCCGTAGAGTTCGCGTTCTGTACTTAGTCGGAAACAGCCGGAGATTTCTCGGTGGTCCAACTGGCGGGTACTTTTGGCTGATTAATGGTGGAGCGGTGCCGTGGAGGTGGGTCTACCTTTGAGGAAAAGCTTGATTCCCTTTCCCCAAAGCACAAGGACAAAGAAAGAAACCAGCTCGGACTCCATTAATCTCTCCAACGGGGTTGGCGAATTCAGACTTCAGACCTGTTCATCCGTTCATCTTATATCTGTCAGAGTTCATAAGAAACGTGCCCGTCTGGAGTCATCTTCATCTCGGCCAACAGGGCATGCTGGTTTTGATTTAGGTATGCCCATAACCTAAGAATCTCTGCTACATATCTTGTTGTCCCTGCTTGCGTTTGGGTTAACTGAGATTGTCGGAGAATAGCAGAGGAAGAATCTCTTCAGCATTGGCGGATAAGTAATAGCTTGCAGATATGCTAGAGCTCTACGTGATGTTTCTTATAGTTTTCTGGTTTGGGTTGGCCTCGAAGGGCTAATTGTGGATACTGGAAGAACTGTTTCATGCTCTGTTCATGCATTCAGGTTAAGAACAGGAGAAATCTACTGTTAATTAAATCACGTGAATCTGGTCAGGAATCAGGGATGATAATAATAATATTTTTTTTATTTTTTCAAATCTATCTCAAACCTTTATATGTTATTTTTTTTTTTTATCTCAAAGAGGCATTTATAAAGTTTTATCATAAATTTTATGTGAATTAACATGGCGCGGTGTGTCAAATCTATTAATTTTTCCTTAGTTCTGTTGATTACTCATTTTTTTGATCTTGCTGAAGCTGTAGAATTCAGCGAGCTTGAATCATATGGGAGATTGTCTGGCATCCATATAATCACATACCAAGGATGGCTAAGAAGACCAAAAAACAGTGTGCACGGCCAGAGAAGAGCAACAGAGGCTGCATGTTTAGTCTGATTAGCATATTTGATCCCCGCCATGGTCATTCCACCCAGAAGCTGCTATCAGATACGATGTACGGGAGCCGCCGGGAAACTGAGGCTCCTGGTAATTTTCCATTTATAGCATTTTAAATATAAATTAAACATTTACTATATAATTTTACTTCTCATAAAGTGCCAGTTTTTTCATTTTCAGGAAATGGGGATTCTACGGAGAAGCTTAAAGTGTCAGGGATCAATGAGAATGACCCCAAAAAGTCAGAAGTACGTTGACCCACTTGCAAAGGAGTTCATAGGCCTTCTTCATTGACTGAACTTACTGCCATATATGATCGGCTAACCTGTATCTATTTCAGGATGTCAACGGAAGTGAAACGGAAGAGTTTGACTTGGGTACAAGCATCAAGGTTCTCATGGAACGAGAGATGTCAGGAGTGGAACAGCCTGGAAAGGTTCCGAAGGCTGATACTGAGAATCTTGGGAAGGAAAATGGGAATTTTCTTATATCCCATGATCTGGAGCCCAGAGATCAATCATCTGCCTCAGTATCAGATGAGTCGAGTAACCTAAATACAGTTCAGAGTTTTCCTCGCAAACTGTACTTAGCTGCTTTGCTGGAAGAGTTATCTGGTGATGGGCATCCACGAGGAGGATTGCTGGTGGATTCCAAGGAGAGAACTGGTTCTGGGGATCATAAAAAATCTCTGGTTGAAATGGCAGAATCTCTCATCAATCAAGCTGCGAAAGGGACTTCGAGTGGAGCATCTCACCAGTCAGAAGAGTTTGCCCGAGCTTTAGAGATTCTGAATTCAGAGGAGCTACTGCGGAAGCATCTTCAGGATCCAAGCTCCCCTCTTGTCAAGCTTATCCAGGAAGTTAAGACTGGAAAGAAAGGGGGAAGACCCAAGAAGGGTTCTAGACTGTTTGAAAAATGGAATGAAATCCCAAGGCCACGAGAAGAACCAATGAGCCGCAAACTGGATCAGAAGCAAGGTATACGCAGACTTTTTCGAAAGAAAGAGAAGTTAGAGGGCATGAAGATATCGAATGGAAATGATGGGGAAGCATCATTTGACAGAATAGTCGTCTTGGAGTCTACACCACCAGTAATCCACGACTCTCCTCACGCCATGCGGTCTAGAACTCCAGAACCTCGTTACAGTCTGAGAGCTGGAGGAGAAAAGGACAGATTTACCTCCCATTTCTCTCTTAAAGAAATTAAAAGGAGAATGAAACATGCTATACGAGATTACAGAAAGGACCAACATGCGTGGTCCCTGGGTTCCGTTCTTCACATAATCCCACACAAACACCAGAAATCCGGCGAATTTGGTCAGACCAAGCCTGCGAGTAAAGTTTCACATACCAAGGAACACACAACATGGAGATCGTTTAATATGAAGGAGAAAGCGACAAAGCTGAAATCGAAAGAAGCTCCACCGAGCATCAAAAGCGCAGCAGAGTTTCAGAGCAAAAATATTAGCATTGCATCGACTTCAGCTTCTCTGAATAGAGAACATGAGTTTCAGCGAGAGGCCAGAAAACATCTTGTAGTGATGCTAAATAGTGTGAAAGGTGAAGAAAAACCTCCGGCTGTGACTGCCTCAAAGCCCTTGGGGAGAATGCTTTCTCTCTCTGGATACAACTCCCCGATTCCTATGTTAAGTCCTGAAAGGGAAAAAGACACCTTCCCGTCAACTGGACAGATGAGAATTTCTCCTCTCTGGCAGCCTAACCAAGAAAATGTAAGTACTTTGAGCCCGTCGGAAAACATTGAAAATACAACATTCACTTCGTCGAGCAGGACACTTGATGAAGTATCCAACTCAAGCCTGAGCACCCGAGAGCATGAAAACGTCTTCAGTGAAGGAATCTCAGGACCCGAATGTATGTTTATCCATGTTGCCTGTTCTGAATGATATAATAACTGTTCCAGCGTTGACATTATGAACTTCAAAATTGCAATGACTCATTCTGATTTCATGGCATTCCTCTTCGTGTGTACAGATATTACAGAGCTGTCAGATCAAGAACACACACCTGAGAGGGAGTCATTGGACGTGGTATTCAAATTGAATGCCACAGGCCCCATTGATGTTGCTGAAAGGCATGAGGAAGAGATGTCTTCGCTGTCACCGAGATCTGTGAGTGGACTATTGAGACGCGTTATACTCTATAATCCTGTTGTTTTAGAAAAATAACCACCTAAATTACCATTGTTTGTCCATCTCAGGGTCCATCAGAGGCATCACAAACAGTGATCCTGCTGGTTCCAACCACACCTGCCACCTTACTCGTTCAGAATATGCTATCTCCAGAGAGCATAGCTGAGAAGCCAGAGCGCCCTAGCCCTGTATCTGTCTTGGAGCCATTATTCTCCGAAGGTGATAGCAGCCCTGAATATAGTACTGAGAAGCGTGGTAAGGGTTACTGATTTTACAGCAATAACGTATCTATGTCACCCAGAGTTTCCATCGTTTTGAACCTGACGTGATAATATGATCTGCAGTTGATTTCCTTGATCTACCGTGCCGTATTCATTTTGATGAGCACGAAGAATCTGCAGAATTTCTAGCGACAACAGGCCATGGACGTGACCATAAAAGTTGCTTGGAGGACGAGGAATCGCGGGCCGAGTATGTACGGGCCGTTCTCGAAGCTTCTGGTTTGATGCAGAGCGGGCTGTCAGAGAGATGGCATTCTTCATCCCCATTGCTGAGTCCATCCCTGTACGATGAAGTTGAGCACCCTTCTGCCGAGTTCCCAGACGATCTAAGGCTTCTGTTTGATTCAGCCTGCGAAGTTCTTGAGGTGATCAGGGAGAAGTTCTTCCATTATACCCCCTGGGTGTCCTTTGCCAAGCCCAGCGCCCGCCTAATCCCATCAGGTGAGAACCTCGTCATGCTGATCCTCAAGGGCATCGCCATCCATTGTCCCTCTCGGCCACCAGATTCATTGGAGGAGATCGTGGGGAAGGACCTTCAGGTCGGAGTGTGGATGGATCTCCGGTCTGAGATTGAGAGCATCGACACAGACATAGAAGATGCAATCCTGGAAGACATAATGGAGGAGGTCATACTCCAATTCCAGCTTTGACCCTGATCCTCCATCTTCATTCCATGGATGGTTGGAGCAGGAGCAGTACCGGGCATGGCTAACCATCTGGAATGGCAAGTTTTAGGTGAGAAGTTCGCCTCATGATTGACATTTAAATCCATGGGCTTACTCTTCACAGTGGTTTTCCTCTCACTAGCCTTTCTGTTTCCCATAATTGGCAGGCGCGAGATAGATATAACTCTACAAAGGAAGCAATGGTAGCTGCTTCAATTATTTTGATGACCCACTGGCTGGAGTTTCTGAGCCTCTCTTTGTACAGATTTAAGGAAACCCTGATGAAGATGACCAGTCTTCTCATTCTTTCTCCCCCACAGTCTTCAGAGTTGTTTCTGAGCAGCGGCCTCCTGGGCCCCGGTTTTGACTGGAACAGTGTCTCCTTTCAGCTGCTGGAAGTTTTCTCGTTGCTTGGGAATGTTGAAAGAGAGATTCTCCAGAGGATTCAGTGATCTCTGTGGCTTGTAATCACAATTTCTACTGTGCCCACAGACAAAGGAAGAAAGTGTATCTGCATGTAAGGGGGCTGTGGGGAAAATACTGGCCCATCCCAGAGTACATCAAAATCAAGCTCGGAAAGAAAATTGGGCCCGACCCAGTTGGACTTGGATAAAGTCAACTCAGAAGCCCGGGGCTTTCATTATGGGTGGGACTAATCCGGCCCGGGCCCAACTTCATCGGGGTTCAGTCTGTAGCCACTTTCTGGGTTTTTTCCATCCAGGCCCGACCTGGATGGCTGCTTTACCGATTTGAGGCATGGGAACTCATTGATCTTCAGTCAACGAAAAGTCCACTCAATGTGATTAGCGTCGACGCCTCACCGAAGTGTCAGAATTTCAGATCATCAAGAAAATTAGTTCTTTTTCCGTTTGTTCTCTGAGATCAAGGCACCTGGAATGAGTTTGGAAAAAGAGGCAGAAAAGTGGAAATCTACTGAACATTCTAAGTAAGATATTAAAGAAATCACATCTCCTTTACGAGGCAAATTATTTCCCAATTAATGATAGGATCGACAGATGATATATTATTGGCGAGATGTCGGATTTGAGGATGTTTCTCAATTCGATATGCTAATTTCATGTTGACCTCTTCAAGGTGGGTTCGCAATGTGTGAATCAGAAGTATTCCTCCAGCGGTGTGTGAATCAGAGGAAAGTTTTTCAAGGATTTGCGGGATGAGAATACCATGAAACGGAAAAAAATCAGAGGGCAGAAGAACATTTGAAGAACAATTGAGGAACAATTTCAGATGGGGGGGCGAATATGAGGAGAATTTGAAGCAGGGGTACCGACCAGACTAGCAGGAGAAGATCAGGCGTTGAGACGGCGGAATGCGACTCCCAAGATCACGGCGGCCGCTGCCGCTGAAGCTCCAGCCGCGAGTTTCGCCCAGGAGTGGTCGCCTTGGTCGGAGACATGGTTATCTTCCGCTAGAGGCGGTGCCGTGGGCTGCAAGGGAGGAGGACCTGACAAATCTATCTCGGCGAGATCGCTCTCTGTAGCCGGAAATCCACCGGCTCCGGCGTCGAAGCCTAGATCCCACAAAATCCGAGCAGAAACCATGACAGCCCCGCGGACCCTGCCGGACGGCGTCCTCAAGGGCAGCACGAGGGCCTCTCCGGCCGGGGCGGCGGAGACGGCAACGGAGGAAATCGGCAGGATGGCGGAGCCGACCATCCTCGGACGGTGAAATGGAATGCGCGAGGAATAGATGATCTCGATTGTGACGCAGGAGGAGACGTCGTCCATGGTTCTCCGGGGGAGAGGGAAGTATACTCTCCGGGGAGTAGCTTTCCGGCTCCGACCGGCGCGGACTCTCTGTTTCAGGCCGGGTTCCAGCCAGGCGACGGCGTAGCAGCGCTTCTCCTCCGCCGCTGCGCTATTGACACCGTCGATGGAGACGAATGTGAGCTCCAGCGCCGCCGCGACTGCCTCTTCGCTGCCGGTGCCACCGGAAGCCATCCCTCGAGCGACTCAGGGTGACAACGTATATCCGTGGACCTGATGCCCGTTTATACATATCGTTAAGCTTAATAAAAATTAATATAGAAATGGGTAATATTCTATCTGTCGCGTTGTTATAGCCCTCCAGCTGCCGGAGTCCGAGGCCGCCGGCGGCAGCACCGGCAGTCGGCCTCTGGCACTCTCTTTCTCTCTCTCTCTCTCTCTTCTTTCTTAGGTGGGCAGACGTGGAGCCTTAGGACCCCAAAACCCTAAACCCTCAACTCAATTTCTATAACAAAGGCCGCATGGTGGAAATAAAGCCACAAATGGCGACACATTCATAGCTTCATCGATCTGAAGGACTTGCCCAGAGAGGAGGGCACCCTGATGCTCTGCGGCTCTTCTCAAGCACATCTGAGGCCATACGCCTGAGAGGGGAGGCGGAGGCGGAGGAGGAGGAGGAGGATGAAGAAGGGGCTCCAAGCTTACGCAGCGGTGCTGAGGCTGGTGCGGCGGCTCCCGGCGGAGGCGCGGCCGTACTACGCCAAGTACGCGCGGGAGAACTTCGTCAACTACCGAGAGGTCGACGCCGGCGACGGCGAGCAGCTGGACGAGCTCCTCCTCAGAGCCTACAACCACTCCCTCTGGGTCCTCAGCAAGGTCCGTTTCTCCTCCGCTGCCTCCTCTCTCTCTCTCTCTCTCTCTCTCTCTCCTGCCCCTCGCCGCCACCGCAGTCCGGACCATTCTGAAGTAATTTTTTGCTCCTCGTTGCTCCCGGCAGTATTCCGTGGACCGATCCGTCGCCGACGATCTGAAGAGGGTCTGCGCCAAATGACGCCCCGTGATTGTTCGCAAATTTGCCTGAGCGGGGGTGGTCAACTCTGTTCTTCGAAATCCAGGAGTCTCCGCTCATAATTTTCTAAAAGTTTAGTTAGGCGGTTCATCGTGTTCTTCAGAGCTCGACCGCCATGCTTTGATTAGATTCTCTGTAATAATCGCCCCACGACTGCGCTTGCTCCGTTGCCCGGGCAAACCCTAAATCTTTGATTTTTGGCGGAAGAGATGTTAGGGTTGTCAACTGGCCGGGCCTCGTCAACTCTCCCTAAGCCGGGGCAATCGTCAACAAGGCTAAACTTGATTGAAGCCTGTAATGGGTTTGAATAAAAACGGGGATAGGTCAACCAATACATCTCTCTCTCTCTCTCCCTCTCTCTTTCTCTCTTCATGCTTTGCTATGAGACAGCCCAATGGTTGATTTTTTTTCTAAAAACTGCTAAGTTTATGTACTAATTTGGAGGCAAATAATCATCAGCATATTTGTACGAATTACAGGACTTTTCATTGTCTGAAGCCTTTTAATTAATTCACATTATACCTAAAAAGGTCAAAACATGATTTAATCATCCAAAAATTAAACGGTGCATATCATCAAGAAAAATATATCTCACCCGAGTCAACTGTTACAAAATCTCTCTCTCTCTCTAGGGTACCTGCACATAAGATCTGGTCTGGATCTCACAATGCGGGCTTTATTATCGGGCTCGGGCTCAAATCGGCGAAGCCCGGCCCGCTACAAACTTCCGGACGGCTTTTTTTTCCGAATTGTTAGCTTCACCTGTAATGACTATGGACGCCCGTTGATCTTTCGCTCGCCGTCTCGTGAGGTGACCGTTGGATGAGGATTTGCGTCAGATTCTAATAACGGTCGACTGGGTGATCATTTGAGGAAAGCAGTAAGAGAGCACTCTAATCGCCGGGTTGGAGGAGGAGATGGGAGTCTGAGAAGGGTTCGAGTCCTTCGAGGAGCAGGCGCCATAGTAAACCCTAGTCGGTAGAACGAGGAGAGGCGGGCAACCATGGCTGAGGGCTTGGTGGCTGAAGAGGGCGGAGGATGGACAGAGCAGGGAGACGAGGAGAGGGAGATCAGAGATCTAGAAGCGGAGGTGAACGAGATGGCCGAGAGGATCCAGCGGTCGAGGAGGACGGTTCCTGGCAGGCTCGCCGAGGCCTTATCTGCGCAGCTCGCGGCCCAACGGCCTCGTATTCCCTCAGAGGGGGCTGTAGGTTTGCAAGATAACTCTTCACAGAACGAGAGTGAGTGCTCTTAGTGTACTTTCTTCTACCTTCCCAATTTTTTGATACCTTCCTTCAGTCTATCTGTGAGCCCCCCTCCTTCTTTTCTGTAGTTGGTTGTTGCCTATAATTGGAGCATTCTTGCCTGACTCGAACTATGTGCGTGCGATGTGTGTAAATCTAGTTTTCTCTTGAAGTGCGTGTCATCTCAGATCAATTAAATTGGAAGAAATACATGGAAACTGTGGAGTTTGCCAGAGAGCATCGAGATCCCCTGGCTGGTGTTTTGGATGTGGAGGATAGAGGCCATTTTCGATGGCTCCATTACCCGAGAGGACGAGAGGGTTATTTGATGAGAGAAACAAGACATATGATCTGAACGGTTAGCTAGATCGGCGTCTAGTCTCTGAATCTCATGTTTTCCTTTTCTCGAAGTGAAAAGCTTACTTTTGTGGAAAAGAGAGAATCCTTCCTCACCCAATCATAATATTCTAGAAATCCAGCTCCCAAACAGCTTGCGTCAGGCGCCCGATGGATTTACCGAGCCCAATTCTGCTGTTTCTCTAGTATCTTGTACCGAATGATTCAGCTTTCAATCTGTGGCCCTGCTATTCTCATATGAATAATATCCTGGTTGCCCATCGCCTGTTCCCAGTTTCTCATTGCCAACATAAACATCAGTATAAAGTGATTTGGAGCTTACTTAACTCGCCGATCTCACTTGATGTCTCTGATGATCGAGCAATTATTACATTCAAAAGAAGGACAAAAATATACCCGTGTTGTTAAAATATTAGAGAAACTTCATTGTCAGGGCTTTATCTATTCACTCTCTTCTTCCTTTCCGAGCTGTCAATAGTGTTTGATAAATGGTGTTTAGAGTTTATTTCTCTATAACCATGTTCTTCAGGCCGCATTTTTCTGATACAAGCCCATTGCTTATCCACAGGAGCATCAGGGGAGGCCGAGTCGGACACTGGAGCATCATCCTTTCCAGAATCAGATCAAGAAATGCAGGAGAGGCTTCAAACCCTGAGGTCCAAGCTCCGTAGTAACATCGACGCCACACCAGAGATTCTGAAGAGAATCAAAGGGTGCATGGAAAGACTCAACAGAATCGATCAGAGCAGTGGCGCCATCAATCCTGTGTTCCAAAAGAGACGAAAGAACTGGCCATCTATTTGATCCTTGTACCCCCTGATGCTTGGTAATCACCAGGATGATGATATTTCTCGTCTCATATGGCAATTGCGCCTGTAATTAATCTCTGCTGGATTAATGTGTGTGGTTGTGTCTCTCTTGCATGCAACTTTCTGATGATGATGATGATGATTATGATGGTATTATCATCTTGTCATGTTGGTATTATGCCTAATGAGCAGAGTATCCAGGCAACTCATAAGAAGGTAGATACCAAACTATGCCTGAATATGGGTCAATATATTAAAAAAATTATGAGCTTAGAGAACATGGATACGAAGTTAATTGAATAAAGTTAGAGGGGTCAACGCAGCCAAGCTGTTTTCTCTAAGAAGCTGGGAGATTATGGATACGAGCGTAATTAAATAAAGTTAGAGGGTCAACACAGCCAAGCTTTTTTCTCTAAGAAGCTTAGAGGTTGTGGATACGAGCGTAATAAAGTGAAGTTAGAGGGTCAAGTGGTGATAAAACAGATCATGAAGAGAGGGGCGACGCGAGGCCGTACTGGTTCCCACTTCCCAATAAAACCCCGCAGCTACCAATTTCCGTTGCCGTTCTTCCTATCCACCTGCTGCGGCAGCTGCGGGGAGGCCCGGGTGAAGGACCGGAGGAGTCTCCCGTTTCTCTGTCCCCGGGAAATCCCCATTGTCGGACATGGTTGTCCTGGCTGGTCACTCGTCCCCGAGCTCCTTACAGCTTCGTTGGGGGCTTAACCGCAGGAAGCCGCCTCCTGCCTCCCTCCAGATTCGTTTCCCTGCGCCCGATGGAAGGCGGCGGCGGCGGCTTGCACGGCTGGTCGCCGCCGGGTCGACTCGGGGTGAGGATGGGGATGGCGTGGTTTCGCGGGCGGAAGCTGGGGAGTCCAAGGATCGCTTCTCCGGATGGTCTGGGGAGGATTCTGATGGAGGCACTCCGCGGAAGGGGAAATTCGAAGGTAGGTGGGGTGTCCTTTTTCGCGCTTCAGCTTAAATGTTTGGTAGTTTCTCGTCTCAGGTACTCAGGATTTGTTAATTTTTGTGTGTTTGTTCATCTGAGCCGCACTTGCCATACATTTGGGGGAGAACGTAGCACGACTGTCAAGGAAAGCCCGTGATTTGAGTTAGATCGTTCGCCGTGTTCTTGTCTCCTAAGCTTACAGATTTAATTAATCATTAAATTATTTTCTTAGTATTCGCATTTCTTTCACATTTGCCTCATAGTAATACATGGACTCAGGAGACTTGTGGACTGAAATCCGGATGCACGCAATACGAATAGTTTGGGATATGGCAGATTCAAAAGAAACCATTTTGATTTGCATTACATGAGACTCCAATTGCAGAATTGTTGCTCACATAATTCTATTGTGAAGCTAACTTCACCTAAGCATTTCTCCATTTTTTCGTGGAATTCCACAGATTACTTGTTTTCTTTGGAGATCTAATGACTGTTCCATCATAGTTCACTTTCAGGATTTGTGGGAGTCGGTCTGGCTGGAATTTTGTTCACCGCTGGAATCGCATTTGCAGCGCTGTCCTATGGACGTAAAAATGTTGGTACGTGCCACTCTTGCTGCATAATGAAAACCAATTTTTTTTCTGATGATTAAATAACTTGAATAATCTTCCCACACATAAATCTCTTTCGAAAGTGAACTTTATCTACTGTTTTCTTCTTTTCAGTATTTATTAATCTTAAGATCTTACGGAGCTGTGCATGATCCTTAATTTTCACTGTTTCAATACGATATATGTTTTCCTTGAATGATATTTTTCCGAATGCTTCGGTGTTTGCAGGAAGGCCAAGAGAGATGGAGCCTCTGACTGTGGAGCAGGAAGTATTATTGGAGTCTGATGAGCAGAATGAGAGTACGGATTCCATTGAAATCGAGAGTAACTCAACTGTGCCCGAGGAAAGCTCCACTTTCGCTCGTGATTCTGAGACAGGTACTAGCAAAGAAAACATCTCGCCTTTAGACACAATTGATTTCGATGCAGACAGTAGGGCGGTGTCATCTCCTTCAGAAGACGATCAGTCTGCTGCCATCGATGCTAAGGACATTAAAAAAGGCTCCACTCGGGAAGATCATAATAGAACTACCAATCTCGATGACCCTTTAGGCCTCACCGTCTCTGATCTCAATTCAATTACGAAGCCTGCACACACAGATCAGCCATCTGCTGATGATTTTAGTATTAAAGATCAGAACAGCAGCTTGGCTTCTGGTTTGTCAGGCTCTTCTGTCAGACTGACTGACAGAATGGAGGCCAGCACCCTCGCTGGCATATCGTCTGCTACTGATTCAGAAAAAAATGATGGTGATCGTCAGGAAGGAGGTATCTTTTCAGACGAATTGGAAAATTCGAAGGATCTGCTGTATTCTGGTGCTTCTAGAGGTGGAACTTTGGGTGATACTTCAAGTTTGGAGAACTCTGTCGAGATTAGTGCAAATATTGATCCCCAATTCGCATCAGATGGCGTAGTGAAAGTGGTAGGCCGTGAGTCAGAGGAACAAGAGTCTCAGCCACTTCCTAATGAGGGTAGCGCCAGGCTTTCACTGGATCATAGCACAAATGTAAATGGTTCATCTGTGACAAACTCTCAATCAGATCTCAGCCCATATGAGACACTTCAGGTCCCGTACAACAGTGCCTCTTCCCCGCTAGAGGAACATAAATTAGATACTGATGAACGTTTTGAAGCACTGGCACCCACACCAGTCGCTCCTCTAGATAGTCAATCCAAACCTAGCGATCACTTTGAAACCCGTAAAGTTAGACCAGCGTACGAGTCAACTCTGCCTCAGAAGTCCTTTTCTTCAGCTGGTATACCTGCTCCATCTCTAGTTTCTGCAGCTTCACAGGTTCCTCCTGGAAAAGTTCTCGTGCCAGCAACAGTTGACCAGGTTCAGGGACAAGCATTAGCGGCACTACAAGTTTTAAAGGTATTGCTTTGTAATTGACTTGCCCTGTAGAGCTTTATTTCCATATTTCATACTCTCTTGTACAGCCTGTTCACTAGGATCTGAAGTGCGAAGTGTCTTTCAGAGATACTAAAAAAAATTAAAATTAAAGACACTGGGGCTGGTGCCTAATTGAAAATTTATTATTATTTTCTAGACATTGATTGACTTATCAGCGTCTCAAACAGTCGTATTATTATGGTACCGTTTTTTGTCCTCTTGCACAAATCTGACTGATATATTATTATGTGAAAAAATTTAATGGTGCAGCTGAGATTCTGTCTATACGTGATTAACATTTTTGACTGAAGATTACCCACATTAACGTGCGAATGGACTAGACAAAATAGAACAAGAGAAGAATTAGAGGGTTGGGGGGGGGGGTTGTTTCAAGGGTATCAGATCAGTTGACTATAATACCCACTTCCGGCCAAAGTTTTAAATTTTTTTTGGATCATTGCCTCCATATGGGGCCCTGATCTTTTCAACTCGTTGCTTGATCATAATCATATGGAATATTGTAAAAAAATTGAATTATAATCTCAAATTACTTTTGTAAACATTGAAAAGCCTGGATTTCAATAGTTTATGTATGATGCCACAAATGCCCACCAATAGTGTTTAGCAGTTTTTTTCAATGGGGCTTGCTTTGTCTTTAGCTCTCTAGACCAGGAGAATTGGGAGGGAACTTTGTGCATCTCTTCTCTGTTATGCACATCTTATCTCCTAGAGACGGAGCATGCATTTTTCTTGCCAATTTTGTGGGATTCCCTAGTGAAGTCTTGGCATTGGAATAGGCTCTGGAGTTGTCAACTGGCTTCGTGGATGCCTAGTTATGTTATTTATTTGACTGTGAATTAGAGAAAAATTAAAAAGAATAAAACCCTACTCTAATCAGTTTGGTCTAGTTTCCTTGTCATTTAACCATTGTTCAATTATTTATAATACATTTTTTTCATGTTTTATTTCAAAGCTTTTAAGCGTTCTATTCTCTCTCTCTCTCTCTCTCTCTCTCTTTCACACAGACACTAGAATTCCCGCTTATAATCATGATTTTAGCTCTATAATTGGCCTATTGGGTTTGGTTCTTTGCTGTTTCTTTTTTCTTGGATTTTTTTGTTTGGGAAAGTAATCTATTTGTAATTACTAGATTATTCAGCTTACTAATTAACTTTCATTTTTAAGGTTATTGAAGCTGATATAGAACCGGGTGCTATATGCAGCCGCCGTGAGTACGCTCGATGGTTGGTCTCTGCGAGTAGCATTCTCTCAAGGTAGGGATATATTTTTATTTTCTCTTTATTCCCTGATTTTAATTTCTGCGGGAATAATGGTCTTCAAATGATATCCCTCTCTGGTGATCCTCAATCTCTTGGTTTTCTCACCAGGAACACTGCTTCAAAGGTGTACCCTGCCATGTACATAGAGAACGTCACTGAGCTCGCGTTCGACGACGTAACTCCCCAAGACCCTGATTTTCCGTTCATACAAGGTGAGATATATTCATCCGAATTCCTTGACTCCGACATAGCTTAATCTTTTGTGGCCCCCTAACACCTGTAATAATTGCAGGTTTGGCTGAGGCTGGGCTGATCTCAAGCAAGCTCTCAAGATCTGATCTTGATCTCCCTGCGAGTGGAGACCAAGATTCTTCCCTGTTCTCCCCCGAGAGGTGATCGGCTTCTGGAGTTTCTATAGGTCTATGTGATTGATTTCCCTGAGAGCGTTTCTCAATCTTCTCCCCTGCTTCTGCAGCCCTGTATCTCGCCAGGATCTTGTGAGTTGGAAGATGGCTTTGGAGAGGAGGCAGCTCCCAGACGTTGACAGAAAGGTGGCGCAGAAATCATAGATTATCGTATGAATACCAAGGTTTATGATTGATTGATTCATTCATTCACGAACTGAAAGTGTTTTTTGATCAGATTCTGCATCAGTGCTCGGGATATATAGATATCGACAGAATCAATCCAGATGCCTGGCCTGCGATTGTGGCCGATCTGTCCAGTAGAGAGCACGGCATCATCCCGCTTGCGTTTGGTACTACTCTTCATGGGCTCATCTTCCTTCTCGATCTAGGGTTATTTTTTGTTTCTTCCGTGTTCGTTGTTTTGTGATCTGGGTTCCGTTCGTCTTCCTCAGGTTACACGAGACTATTCCAGCCTGATAAACCAGTTACGAAAGCTCAGGCCGCCATTGCTCTGACGACCGGTGAAGCCTCCGAGATGGTCGCTGAAGAGCTCACCCGTATCGAGGCAGAGTCGATGGCCGACGCTGCGGTGGCGGCTCACACGGCCCTCGTGGCCCAGGTGGAGCAGGATCTGAATGCGAGCTTTGAGAAGGAGCTCGCAGTGGAGAAGCAGAAGGTGGACGCGGTGGAGAAATTGGCTCAGGAGGCTAAACTGGAGCTCGAGAAACTGAGGCGGGAGAGAGAGGAAGAAAACGGTACCCTTATCAGGGGCCGCTCGGCCGTCGAGTCGGAAATGGAGGTCCTCTCGAAGCTGAGGAACGAGGTAGAGGAGCAGTTGCAGAGTCTCATGGGCAACAAGATGGAGATGGCTTTCGAGAGGGAGAAGATTCTGAAGCTCCGCAAGGAGGCGGAAAAGGAGAACGACGCCATCGTCCAGTTGCAGTATGAGCTGGAGGTCGAAAGAAAAGCCCTCTCCATGGCCAGGTGCTTACCCAGATCTTTGTCCTAATCTGGGTTGGCAATTAGGCTAATTCTAAGCCTTCCTGAAATCTGAATGATGATCCCCAGGGCGTGGGCTGAAGAGGAGGCCAAGAGGGCGATCGAGCAAGCCAAAGCCTTGGAAGAAGCTCGGGAACGGTGGGAGCGCCATGGTCTCAAGGTCGTCGTAGAAGGTAGCCTCCGCGACGACGAGCTCGCCGGAACCACCTGGCTCAACGCCGGCAACCAGTCTCCGCTGCAGGAAACCATCAACAGGGGCGAGGGCGTACTGGAGAAGCTCAGGGCAATGGCCGTCGGCATCAGTGGCAACTCGGCGGTGGCGATGGAGAGGATGATTCAGATCATATCCTCTGCGGTCTCAGCTCTGAAGCAGTTCCTCTCCAAACTCCCTGGGGCCGTCGCCGCCACAGCGTGCAAGTCCGTGGAGGACCTCCGGGGAGCCGCTTCGGAGCTCAGCTCCGTCGCCGCTGAGAGATCCAGCCGGTCCATCCAAGAGCTCCGAGAGAGCGCCTCTGGGTTCTACTCCGGCGTGAGAGACGGCGCGAAGAGGGCCGTCGAGGACTGCCGGGAAGGCGTGGAGAAGATCACCCAGAAGTTCAAGACGTGAGCTTTGCGCCGCCCCCCCGGAAGCCCGCCAGCTCCATTAACCTCGCGGCGATCTCGATAAGCAGCTACCTGTAATGACACAACACTCAGGACTCTTCTTCCACCTGCTCCACCACGGCCGCCGCCCCTCTAGAAGGGACCGTTGTACTCCTCAGGAAAGGACGCAATTTTGACTAATAATCTTGCTTTCCCTCTTGATTTCTTTCCTGAGTCAACGCGGGAAGGGGAATAAGACAGAAATTGCTTGAAATCTTTTGAAGATGTTGAGCTATTTTAAATGGATATATATATTTTAATTAAAGTAATATAATTATTTTAATTGAGATTTTAATATCAGGCCGTTAACGGCCATCTTGTTCTCCTCTCCCCCGCCCTTTGCCTCCCCGCTCCTCTCTCTCTCTCTGTTCTAGCCGTTCGGAGGCGGCGGCGGCGCCGAGGGGTTTCGGGATAAGCCATCTCCGCTCGCCCCTGAGGAGCCCGGAGATGCAGACGGCTACCATGGCGGCGCAGCTGATCTCCCCGGAGTCGCACTCGGCCTCGGGGAGGGGGTCCGAGAAGCTGAGCCTCCCCTCGTTGCAGTCCAAGATGAAGTGCGATCCAGAGGGGTATGAGACGGAGCTTAAACTCCTCTACCGCCACTTCGAATCCTCTCTCCACCTGTTCCGTCAACAGTCCGCCCTCAGCGTCTCAGCTGATCCCGTCGTCTCCAAGGACCTCGGTGATATGTCCATGTTCCTCGCCCATGTCACGCCCTTCTACCCCGACCGCCTCGCCGACTTCCCAGGGAAGCTCGCTGACCTTCTCAGCGAGAACGGCCGGTCTCTCATCCCCTCTCTCCGGAGCCATCTCACGCAAGCCCTAATCCTCCTGGTCAATAGACAGGTATGCACATGTCTCAAGCGGGTGGTAGCGTCTCCATATTTCCAGGTCTTTTTCATGGAGTTCGCCATAATAATTATTTCATAAAATTTTATGTCAGTGTAGATTGTTGGGGTTGAGGAGACGCTCAGGTTGTTTATGGAGCTTCAGACCATGGGCGACAGGAACCTAAGGAAGTTGGCATTCTCTCATGTTGTTCAGAGTATCAGGCGAATGAACCAGAAACACAAAGATGAAGCCAAGAACCGAAAGCTCCAGAGCATTCTTTTCACAATGTTGCAGGTTTGTTGCTCCCCTGCAAAGTTTCTTTCTCGGGGAACACGAATACGCTCCTTTGCTTTCGTACCCACTGGGGCAGATGATTTTTTCCGCAGGAAGAGGATGAATTGAAAGCTAAAAGGGCCCTGGTAGTACTTTGTGATCTTCATCGGCGGAAGGTGTGGTTTGATGACAGGACAGCCAATGCCATTTGCACTGCCTGTTTCCATTCTTCCTCAAAGTGTGTACTTCTAATTCTTCTTCCTGATAAAACGTTGGTTTAGTTTTTTTACACTGTTGAATTGGTTTCCGGTTTCTAATTGGATTTGCGATTATGGATAGGGTTTTGGTTTCTGCCCTCTCATTTGTACTTGGCTACGAGGAAGTTCAAGAAGGGGATGATAGTGATGGGTCTAGCAGTGAGGACGACATGCCAACTCCACACCCTATTGTTGTTCTTCGCAGAGAGGATGTGTACAAGGTGCCTTGCCGTGCTTATGCATTTATGATTACCAAATACAAAACCATATTCCTGATTGTTCCCGATCCTGTATATAATCTGAGAGGGAGAACTGCATAGTTCCTCACTGCAGGCAAGTTTCAAAAGACACCCATTGTGCTCAGGAGGATAATCCCATGAATTATCATGAAGGAAAGAATATGCTTTATTTCTTCTCTATGGGAAACAGGTTATTTATTGCACCATTTACTAATAAAACATTAATTGGTACATGGAAGCATGATTTCTGAAGGAAAAAATTGACAAAATAGAGGAAAACGGTATGAATAAAGCATCATTCACGATCTCTTTGCTGGGCTTCTAGAATGAAATTTTGTTGAATATCAATAAATCAAATGGCATAATTAGACCGATAAGAATGATGGTCTCACGGATAGATGAGGAATTTTCTTACCTAAGGTTGTTCTTGTTCTTCTCTCTGCGACAAATAGCTTTAAAATAGCCAGACGGCTTCCGAATGGTAGAAAATTTCAGATGGGCATTTGGGGATTCTCTATGCCGGTCTCCTTCATAGAGGTCTCTTTATTACCACTCACAGTGAGAGAGCATCATGGGAGGAGGAGATAAAGGAGACTACAACTCTTGAGATATTTCTTTCATAGACTTCCTTACTTCTCATGTTTTAGATGAAGATACACTCACACGTGAGTTATATAAAAAGGAGCCTCCATATATTACTGGTTAATTTTCTACCCAATTGCTTTCCATGAATTTCGTCTATCAAGGATCATTTTCATTCTTTTTTCTTTTATTTGGCTGTGTAGGCAAACCAGAAAGGAACATCGGCTAGCAAGAAAAAGAAGAAAGCAAAACTTCAGCGTATTGTTCGCAGCATGAAGAGGCAGCAGCGAAGAGCATCCGGAAATTGTGGCTTAGGCTCATATACACCACTCACACACCTTAAAGATGCACAGGTATGCTGGATTTCATGCTGCATTCATTTTCTTTTTTGTTTTTCCAATGATGATGTGATTCTGAGATATTGGTACGCATCATGTCTCAGGGATATGCCGAGAAGCTGTTTTCTCGTCTCCAGAAGTGCAATGAACGTTTTGAGGTATTTATTTGATTTTAAAACCCTCATGATTAGTCTCTTTATGTCTAACCATGAAAAAATGGATAAATATTGTAACAACTGAATCATTTCTATGACCAGTTTTGCTAAGTCATCACTGTTAGGGGGTGGTGGTGACAGAATTATTGCCTCATCGAACTTCAGGGCAGTGGGAAAATCCCAGGATCCCAGCTCTGTATGGGGATTGCTGGTGAGAAGTAAATGGTTTTGTGTTTGTGCTGGAGAATCATGGCGTGAAGGAAAAACATTCAACTAGCTATTGCATTCTAGTTTTATTTCCTGACGTTTTGGATGAAGACAACCTCTGTCTGTGATACATTATAGGTGAACAGGTGCTTCCGTTGTGTTCACATTCACTAGTATTCATTCAAGGGTTGGCTTAAAAGTTCCTGAGACTATACTTATAATGATTCATTATGTTGGACTTTGAAATACATTGAATTAAAGACTAATTTTAAGTTTAATTTAGTATGAGTTAATGATCAAGATATCCAGAGTCTCTATTCTACACCATTTTTTATTCTTGATTCAATGCGTTTCATTGGTGTCTTCATCAGAGGATTCGTCTGCATTTTATTATGAACCTTTACTGTTATTCCATTTGACTTCATGGAATGCATCTGGTCAACACGCGTTTACCTGTGGTGGAAGACTTTCTCCACGAATCCTTCCTCATCTTACATGTGATCCATCAATTAACAGCTTTTTGCTTTAGTCACCGTGTGATTTTTCTTGCATTGTTTTCCTTTATTTCAGATAAAAATGATGATGCTCAAGGTAATTGCACGGACTGTTGGGCTCCATCGATTGATACTGTTAAACTTTTATCCTTTTCTTCAAAGATACGTCCAGGTATTTTCCATTATTTACTTGCGGGATGGAAAGATCCCGCAATCTATTGTGGTAACGTCTTATAGAATCCGATTTATGACTTTATCTTGTTATTTGACAGCCCCATCAACGTGATGTGACAAACTTGCTCGCTGCAGGAGTCCAGGCGTGCCATGATATGGTCCCTCTATATGAACTTTATCTGCCTACGCCTTTTTAATTCTTTACCTCTTAGTTCCTTCTCTGGACAAATGTTGTTTTCTCAATTCCCTTAAAGCGTTGCCTGTAACATTCTTATCATTTTGTTCAGGTCCCACCTGATGCTGTTGAACCATTGTTTAAACAAGTTGTAAACCAGTTTGTGCATGACCGTTCTCGTCCTGAGGTGCTGCAATCTGCATCCTTGTCAGTTACGTTTTTTGAAGGGCATTTTGCTTTTGGCTGACGTTTTTTGTCTATTTACTGGCAGGCCATTGCTGTTGGCTTAAATGTTGTTCGGGAGATATGTATGCGCATGCCTTTGGTATAGCCTCTCTACGAGCTGCATTCATACATGTCATCTGTGCAAATCTGGGGTTTTTCATTTATTATTCCTCTACAATATCCGTGGCTTTGTTGAAATGCTGATCTGTTGGAATCTTGGATAGTCACGTTGAATCAGCATTTTTCAATTTTTTTCAGATTTATTTTGTTCTTTTAATGGTATTTTGTGGGGCGGTTCACTGTATTGCGCTAAGATACAACTGAGAATCTATCTCTGACATTGTTCATGTAGCTTTTTTGTAAATTTATCACCATAAGTGAAGCACTTTCAATAACATAAATGATTGCTTTTTGTTTTTTCATAGTTAATGTCCGAAGATTTACTTCAAGATCTTGTGCTGTACAAGAAATCACATGAGAAAGCTGTTTCAACAGCAGCTCGTTCCTTGGTCACCTTATTCAGGGAGGTTAGATTCGATAGATTCAATCAATAGTGAAATTTCCATTTTTTTTCCAATTTTATCGTCTCTCTCTATTAATTTTCAACACTGTGCTGTGGTATGCCTGCAGTTATGCCCTTCCTTCCTAATTAAGAAGGACCGTGGGCGTCCCACTGATCCAAAAGCAAAGCCAAAAGAATTCGGTGAAGTGACTATTGCTAGCAATGTACCTGGAGCGGAGCTCCTGGAGAACGGTGATGAACCTCTATCTGGTGATGAGGACGAGTCTAATATCCCTGATATCGACGAATTGGATGAAGAAAAGATAGAAGAGAGTGATTCAGAGGGAGATGGAGAAGAAATGGCTTCTGAGGAAGAAGATAATGGAGAGGAGGTAGAGATTGCCAGTGATAGTGGGGATGATAATGACGACGATGGCAAAGATGAGAGTGATTATATGAGTGACAGTGATGACAGTCCCCCGACAGATAGTGATGATGGTGATGATGACAAGGATGGAGATGAGGAGACCCAAGTGGGAAAGCCTAAAGGATTGAAGCGGAAGTTTTCGGACTATGAAGCACAGCTAGATGTTGTGGATCAAAGTCTTCGTACCTTAAAAAGACTGGCATGTTCAAAGATGGCACGTGCCTCCTCAGATATAAATGATGGTATTCTTTCCAATGAAGATTTCCATCGGATTAAAGAGTTGAAGGTAGTGATCGTTACCCACTATGAGAACAAACCGGATGTGTTTCCAAACTGGCACTGCAATTTGATTTCGTAGATGAGATCTTAGCGCCGCATTTTAGCACCTTAAAAGTGCTCAATTGATTTGCTTTTGCTTCAATTTATCAGGACAAGCAGCAAGCGAGGTTGGCTTTAACTCGGCAGGGTCTTTTGAAGGATAGCACCGATTCCAACTCATCCTCTTTCAAGATTCCATCCTCTGAGTCTCTAAGCACGAAGCGTATGGACCCAGCCAAACTCGAGGTGGGTTTTAAATAATATGCTTCTTTAGTATTTTTGAGATTGATGGAGTCGGAAATCTGATTGGCAGCCATTTAAAGTATTTGGCCATAGCTCTATACATTCAGTCAATTGAGGCTTCTGAACAGGCCTAGGCCGGCCCAATCTGGATTACCTGTGCCTGGATTAACTACCCATGGTAGAGGGGAGATGCATATTCTGGAAGGGGGCACTGTGAATGCTTCTTGCTTTCCTGAACAGAAAATGATGCCACTTTAGGTTCCGGGATAATGTTCTGACCCAACTGTTCTTGTCATTGTAGATCAACATAAAAAGGCGTATGAGCAAGGAGGAAAGGTTGGCATTGGTGAAAGCTGGGAGGGAGGACAGAGGGAAGTACCGGGCACGTACAGCTGTGAAACAGAAAAAGGTGCCGAGCATCACTGTCTCTTTTAAAATATGTGCGGGTGGTTCTCTTTCTATTCTAAAAAAATGTCCTTATATCTTGATGAAAATTAAATGAAGAATGGCGCTGTTTAAATGAAAGCTTTACAGACTGAAGTTCTGGTTCTGCTTTAAGCCTATCTCTCTGTGTCTTCCTCATAAACTCTTGTCTTCCACTGAGAGGCTTCTGTCCTTGTCAACCTCTCTCTCTCTCTCTCTCTCTCACACACACACACACACATCTGTTCTCTTCAAAATGTGCAGTGTAGTGCAGAAGAGAGTAGACTGTTGAATTATGATATGACATTTCACATCTGTTCTGTGTCGTATGGTTTTCTAATTTTCCTGTTTTAATGCTGTTGGAATCGGTTCTTGAGAGAGTCACTCTTTTGCTAAGAATCTACTGTACTGGGCTCTCTCCCTCTTGCAGCAATCTCTCTCTCTAACAACACACACTGGCCGTAATATGGCTGAATTGTCTTGTAAAACACGCAATCCAGCAAAGTTCCTGTATTAATCTGAATAGGCGCAGATGAGAGTGAGATTTTTATTATATGATAATAAGGCCTTATCTTCCATATCATTTACTGAGGATCTTAGATTCCATATCATTCTCTTACCCTTTTCTGGTGTGATCATTAATGAAGTAATATTATCTTCTGTACATCTGATCCTGGAGACCCAGTTCCTGAATAATAATATGCTGCCCGCCATTCAGGCCCTTGTTTGAGGGCTCGATCTAATATCATTTCCCTATGTTGATTCAATGGGCAGACCGGCGGCCTCAGCAACCGGCAGAAGGAGCACAAGAAGGCCATGCCGCTTGCTGCCAAGAAAGCCAAGGCGGCCCGTTCTCGGCAGGAGAAGAAGAAGCTGCAGCGCCGGTCCAGTAAACAGTTCAGAGGGAAGAAGGCATGGAAGTGAAGCTCCTGAGTCTCTGATCGTCAATTCCATCCACGAAAACCATTTTTCCTGGATGGTTTTTTTGGTAGTCTACCTGTTAGCTTTCCCCCTTTTGATTTTTTTATTGTTTAATTCTTCCAAAATCTCAACCCGATGATGATCGATTGCTCATAGCAGACGAGTTCAGTGCCGCTTTTCTTGAAGGAGGGTGGATAGATTAGGGTTCTTCATCCCCATTCAGACCCTTGTGCCCATGAAGATTTCAGCTTTCGTGATGCTCAGAATTGCCCAACTCCCTGTGTGTTGATATGGTCGCCGAGATGGCGATCAGGCTGCTTCTTGCAGGTGGAGCTTGCGGAAGAAGACACTGAGACAGCGATGCTGATCGAGAGTTCCTTCTAGTCGTCTTTTTTTATTTTATCTGCCAGGCGGCGGTGGGAGCTGCCCTCGTTGTCTCTGTCTGTACATATCGACGTCGACGGCATCCGAAACGGACCTGAGAGATATCGTTAATAGGCCACTCTCTCTCTCTTCTCTCTTCGTGTTGTCGAACGGAGGTGGAGTCTCCAGTCTGATACTCTCCAACCCTGTGGTTGGCGGCGCGCTTACAGGGTACGACCCAATTTATGGGTGGCGCTTTGGGTGGTAAAGTTGGAGAGTGGCTCGGAGAAGACGGAGGTGAAAATATCATCCCGCTGACTTCGTTGCCGGCCGGTTTGACGATTAGTTGCTTCTCTCTCTCTCTCTCTCTCTCTCTCTCGCTACCTATCTTAGTCGTTGGGTTTCGGTCGGGTTGCTCTCTCTGTCTCTCTGTCTCTGGTGTTGGGGGGATTCTTTCCTTGTTTGTGGCAGTCTTCCTTTCTCCCGGCGTTCAGTCTCTGTGATGACTCGTCTCGTCCCAGCCGAGCAGGCAGGGCTGGGGATCATGTTCTTGTTGTTCTTGATTCTTTTAACTGGTTTCTGCTCTGTAGTGGTGGATTTCTGATTGGTCAACTTTTTTCCTAGTTCTTGGGGGGGATTGAATCTCCTGTTGTGGGCTGGATTGTCGCCGTACCGCCGCCGATCGATTGGGATTCCCTAGGGTGGAAGGAAGGAAGGAAGGAAGAGGGGGGGGGGGGCGTGGGGGTGTTCCCTGTGCTTGCAACAGGCCTCAGACGATCCTGATCTGTTGGAATCTGAATTTCTTTCGTTCCATTAGCGTAATCTCACGTCGAGATGCTAGAGTTTCCTACTTTCCGAGGCATTGACCGCGCGTCAGGGGGCTTCCTCGTAAGGAGCCCCTCCCGGCGTTCTCTCCTTCCTGAACCTTCGCTTTGGCAGATGCTGTGAAGATCGCGTCCTTTCTCTACAACTGTGACAGTGCTGAATTGCACCAGTTGTAGATAACTTCCATACCTCGATTCACTTCTCCTGCTTCACTTCATTTCTCTCTCTCTCTCTCTCTCTCTCTCTCTCTCTCTCTATCTCTCTCCCTTTCACTTGCTCGCTCTCCCGTAACATCCATTGATGCTGTTGCATCTACCAGCTTCAGGACATTAGATTCTCCTGAATCGGAGCGCTCATTCTTCCAAACGTACGGGCGAAAATTGCTCCCAATGCGTCCGTCCGATGATCCTCTACCTGTGAATTTTCATTTCCATCCAGGTTTCTGTCATTTCCTCAACGATGCCTGAGTCAAAATCTTCCCCGAATGTCGATCGCGTGCTGTATCCCCCTCGTCGAGTGCGTCTACTGCTTGGCCTGCACCCGCTGGGTTTGGAAGCGGTGCCTCCATACTGCAGGTCATGACAGCGAGACATGGGCAATAGCATCCGCGGTCGAGTTCGAGCCCGTCCCTCGTCTCTGCCGCGTGATCCTGGCTGTGTACGAGGATGACATCCAGAATCCCTTATGGGCTCCTCCTCGTGGATACGGAATAAAACCACAGTTCATCATCCTGCGGAAGACCTATGAGGAAACGGGGGGGCGAGCTCCACCATACCTGATCTACGTTGACCATGAGAATGCCGACATAGTCCTCGCCATCAGGGGCCTTAACTTGGCGAAAGAGAGCGACTATGCAGTGCTGCTGGATAACCGGCTCGGGGAGAAGAAATTCGACGGTGGGTATGTTCATAATGGCTTGTTGAAGTCCGCGGCTTGGATTTTGGACGCGGAGTGCGATGTTTTGAAGGGATTGCTGGATGAACATCCAAATTACAGCTTGACGGTCGCTGGCCATTCTCTGGGTGCTGGCGTTGCTGCCATGTTGGCCATGCTGGTGGTTCAGAATAGGCAGAGGTTGGGCGATGTGGAGAGGAAGAGGGTGCGGTGCTATGCAATGGCCCCCGCAAGGTGTATGTCGCTCAATCTCGCAGTTAGATATGCAGATGTCATCAACTCAGTCGTGCTGCAGGCAAGCTTGCCCTTTCCTCGTCCTGTTCATCCCATTTTGTATGTATATATGTTTGTTTGTGTGTGTGTGTATGATGAGTAAATAGCTTCCGTGTTTATGCTTCTGATGTACTTGTATGTTACCCACGGTCGTCTGTATGCTCTCAGCATTTCTGGGAATGCATTTTCTTGGTCTTCAGCGAGCCTTTTTTTTGGGAACCTTGAGCATCTAAACCTCCGTTTTTTTAAATGGCAGCTGTAGACAAGTATGGTGGAATATCTGGGTAGATAATAATTCTCCACCACGATATTTCATCTGCGGGTAATGCCTAGTGCAATACAACATGAAAGATACCCCCTTATCTGCTTTGGAGTTTTCTCACATACTATTGTCATGTTAATCTGAAGAATACTGGGTAAATTGCTCTGGTTCTGTGGTGAACTGTCGTGTTGACAATTCAGTAGGGATACACAACAAATAGGTTTTCCTTGACCTTTTCCTGTTGTATTTGCAGATGCCTCTGCCCCTGGGACTCTTTGTTCTGTGGTTATTCTAGGTTTGAACTTTTATTACCCTGAAGAAGGGGCCATTGCTATTGTAAGTGCATTTTTAATAAAATTGTATCTTAAACAACACGTTACCTGATAAACTAAATAATAAAATAGTTTAGTTAAAGGATTCTGTTTATGATGCAATGAGAAAGTTGTAACGCCTCCTTTTTAGGAGAACTAATGATGATGTGCGCGTCATTTGTTTATATAACCTCAGTTGCCTGTTTCGTCATTTGTTTTTATTTGATAGGTAGGAATCTGGGTTCCATAAATGTTTACCTGTGGGTTCCATAAACTAGAGGAGGAACTCTTTAAGCCTTCTGTGTGAGTAAATATTTGTAAGAGGCGGCTACCTGTGCATGTCAGCATTCTGAATAACCTTGTGTTTTATTCCCACATTAAAGAGATTTAATGGTATTTTCTCTCACAAAGCATATATTTGGAATTAGGGGAAGATGCCGTTGATTAAAGAAGGAAAATAAAGAGGAATTTTAATGGTTGACTTTAACTGAGGTGACAACTGAGGATTTTGAGGCACTGAATCATGCTCAACTGTTCAGGCCTGTGTTAGTAAATAAAGCTGGCTTTCTCGTCATCATGACCATTATAGTGCTCGGCAGAAACATGTGCCTTGTACATGTTTCTTTAGTCTGCTCATCATCTCTTTTCCAAATGCTGAGATACATATTTTCCTACTGAGAACATATCGTAGGAGAGTTCGTGGGAGAAATATTCAAAATGAGCACATGAAATAAATTTTGTATAGAAAAGCACGAAATTCATTACCTAGTTTTATTGATTGAAATATAGCATTTTCTCACCACGCAGAGAAAAAAAAACTCAACTTGGTTTCGGATCCTGATTTTATCGATGACATTTAGGCACACGCATATTCTTTAATCACTATAGATTTTTTTTTATTTTTACAAAGTCATGTGAAGTGCAAACATCTGGTGAAGTCTGGGCCTGGGCCTTTTACAGATATTAATATATTCATTTTTTCTTGGAAATAGCTTGTAAAGAGAAGGGAGACTGAAATTATGGCTCTATTTTTTTCTTCCTTCTCATGTTTTGCCATCTGCAGACTATTGTTCAGTTCTTCCCCATCTCCTCGTCATTGAATAATATCATATCATTTCGGCGAGACTGATCTGCTCTACTCTATTAGTCCTGTATGTGGTTTGTGTTCTGATGCTGTCTATTCTGACTCCCAGGATGATTTCCTACCGAGGACGGCTACTCCTCTTGAAGACGTTTTCAAGTCTCTCTTATGGTAAAACATAGGCTTTGAAGCCCTGAATCTCTTTTTTAAGAATAAAAGTAGGCTTCTGGTTTCTTAGGAAACAAAGTTCATCCAATTGATGTGGCTAACGTCCCATCATTGTATCGTTTTGAAATCCCCTCCCCCCCTCATTGAAGTCCTATTTTCAGAGGATATCTGTCTGGGATTGTGACCAATACATCAATAATGGCATTCCTTTTTGGTCTTCTCGTAGCTTATTTGTGCTCTTATGTTGATCAAAGTATAAGTTTCATCCAGCTCTCCAGTATTCATCCTGTGAATGACTTGATTATTGTTTCTGATCGTTGTGCATGCAAATGGCTTCCTTCTCTTAGTTCTTTTAGTTATTTTTGCATGGTCAGATTTCAATATTTACTCAAAGTCTCAGTGATAATGCCTCCATTGAAATTAAGAATTAAGATGAAGGTTCTTTTTTTTATAAAAAAAAAGTTTTTACTTATAGAGGTCCTCATCAGGACTGGAATCGTTTATTTGATTTTTGTTTTGACAGTTTGCCATGCATACTTGCCCTAAGATGCTTGAGGGACACGTGCATACCGGAGGAGATCATGTTCAGGGATCCAAGGCGGCTCTACCCACCTGGTCGTCTATATCACATTGTCGAGAGAAAGCCTTTCAGGTGAATCGTCACTCTGTTTGCTTAAAGGATCCGCATATCTAAGAAGTCTTCGAAACCATTCTTGGGCATCTTTCAAAACCCATCGGAGAGTTTTCTAAATGATCTAATAGGATATAGTTCTATCCGATGTCTCGGAAATCTAAGGCTTTGGGGCATTCACGTGATGCTGTGGGTGGCAGATGTGGGAGGATCCCACCGGTGGTTCGGACGGCGGTGCCCGTGGACGGCAGATTTGATCACATTGTCCTGTCTTGTAATGCCACGTCGGACCACGCCATCATCTGGATCGAGAGAGAGGCCCAGAGGGCTATGGATGTAAGTCTTAGATCTTCGCGTTTAGTTCTGAGAAGGGTTCTTGTCTTCTATATCCGATCATTAGCTTCAATTCTGTTTACATGTTCCATGGTTAGACAAAGTACAGAGCTTTGGAGTGTGGTTCTGTTGTGAGACTGACTGGATATTATATATGATGGCCCTCCGAGCTCAGCTCATGTTGGAGGCGGAGTCGGCCATGGAGATCCCGGCGAAGCAGCGGATGGAGCGGCGGGAGATGGTGGCGAGAGAGCACAAGGAGGAGCACCGGGCGGCGCTCCGGCGGGCCGTCACGCTGGCCATCCCGCATGCGTACTACCCCTCGGCGTACGGCACTTTCGAGGAGCAACCCGTCGCCGGTGGAGAGCCCGCAGTGGCCGCCAACGGGGAGAGGGAGAGCTGGAACGAGCTGATACAGCGGCTGTTCGAGATAGATGCCTCCGGTCAGGTGGTGCTTCGGAAGTCGGCTTCCCCTGAGATGTCGTGAATAATATTACTAAAAAAAATTACTTCACCACCGTCCCCTCCTTTCACGGCCCCTTATTATTGTACTCGCCTATTGATTTAATGTTACCCGTGTCCATCGTCTCTCTCTCTCTCTCTCTCTCTCTCTCAACTAGATAGTCCAACCGGCAGAAGCTTACCACGAGATTGATTGCCTCAGGTAGTAATGTGGGGGTGACAAGATTCTAACAATCTCCACCTCTTTCTCGAGGGAGTTCCTTTACAGGGGAGAGGGGAGGCGGGGCTCTAAAATTTGCTGGCTATTGCGGTCAACATGTAGAACAATCTAGAGAGAGAGAGGGGGAGAGAGAGAGAGAGAGAGAGAGAGAGGAACATTGGCTGAGTGTAATCTTCGGGACTGAAGTTGTGAGAAACATTCATCCCCTTTTCGATATCAATCACACCGGGAAGTCTAGAACTGCTTCACCTGCCAGCAGAGAATGGGAGAAAGATGTGACGGGCACGCAGCAGCATGCTATTAATAGTATGCGGAGATAAAAATAAATGTGTAATGTAACTGGAAATGAGGAAATGTAACGAATTATCTCCACACTGTTCATATTAAAGGTATCAGGTATTCAAGAAACATGGTTTCAGTGGGTCAAGGAGTGAATGAGAAGGCCGTCTTCAAGCACATTCTGACCTGGATCACTGCCTCCTGACATTTTTCTGAAGCTGTTCCTAACACTGTTGCAGAGAAGCTGCACAAACTAGGCATGAAATCGTTGACAGAGAAGATCCGTACCTTCCACATCGCTTTTCACATATCGCAGTTGTTAGTTTGGAAGGAAGCAATAATGGCAAGAATTTCAGGCTTTAACGCTTTGTCCTAGTGTTTTAAAGCCTTGCCTACAGCTTCTTTTAGCATCTGGTGCTTTCCACCCACTGAGGAACCATCAGAAGCATGGCGATGACACCGAAGGTCAGCAAAATCTAGGGCCTCTGGTCAACATGGATTCTGTGAATCTCCAGGACTTGCTATGAATGCAGTGTTGGGTCTGTAGATTGATTGGAGTATCCTCTTCACCATGTACAAAATATTTTCTAACATGATCCAGAGGTGAGTAGAATCAGAAGAAGATAAAAGTGGAAGCGAGATGAACAGAGTGTCAGACCAGCGGGCAGTCTCCCCCCCCATGGGATATGACATGCAGATTAAGAGCTTATCACGTGACTTCCAGAAGTGGAGAGGGGAAGTGCTGAAAAGTGCAAGAGAAGAGAAGACAAGAAAGGAAAGCCCATGTAATCCAAGCATGGTAAAGTAAAGTAAAAATGACATTTTTAATATCCGTGGTATTAAAAATATTATGCCAACGGAACACACTAAGATAAAGATGGTTAATTCGAGGTTATAAGGGAAGAACAAAGCATAATTGTAAGGAGGAAAAAATAAAAGCGAACTATTTCTACAAACAAGAGAAAAAAAAAAGAAAAAAAAAAAAGAGGGGTGGATAGGAATAGGCTCAATGCGCACCGTGCATTTTCTTAACGAAGCGCTCGAATTCAATGAAGTTGTGTCCCTCCATGAGACCTGGGCTAAGCCGCAGGTAGGTGAATGCAGACAAGTGCCTTCCATCTGGATCATCATAGGGTTTGGCATTTTCTAATATCTTATTATACCCTTCCCGATCATAACATGGAAGAGCGTTTTCACTAGCAACCTGTATCTTAGCATCCCAAGCAGCATTCAGCACCTGAAATAAGTCAACTTCCAGAGTGAGATTGTCAAATAGCATATCAATAGTTTTAAAAGGGAGTCAGAACACATGCGCTGATCCAAAAGCAAAATATGTTCATCATCATCACAGACATACAGATGGCATGCCTCTCCAGACCGTAGTTGGAACTCAATGTTAGCATCACATTAAAGTTTCCAAACTAGCGATGCTTTTTTCCTCACATCTTATTTTAATGCTTGGTATGAGATCTGACAGGAAGACTTGTATTTTGTAAACCCTAGAATTAATCATACTACAGGCTGATGAAATAAGATGGGTAAAAATCGAGGAAATTCTGGTAAATATGTAGTTCAATGTGTGTTCTTCCCATGCAATGATTTTTACTGGCTTCCTTGTCTTCTGGATAGTTGGAATGGAAAGAAGAAACTGCGATAAACGATGTTTACCATTCACCACGGATTTTAAAAGCAAAAATCTGGGTCATCTACCTGCCAAACCAGGCCCTCTGGGTCTGCAAGTGCTTCTGGAAAGTCCTCATGCTGGTCCAGAGTTCGCAATTCAACACAAGTAAAGTTTAAAGCTGCGTCGTGCTTCTTCAGGGTTGCTGCGATCGCAGTGTATCCATCACGGTTACAAGGATTGTAAAACCCAGCTGTCAATTCCGCAGCATGGCTGGCTGTTTTGTACCACCAATGAATGCCTGATACCTGGTGCAAGGAAAATTTGAGACAAACGTATAAGTTGCACGAAGTAAGAAAAAAATGGCACCAAGGAGAAATATAATCATCATAAGAATGTATGAGAAACGACTCGTCACTCTTAAACATAGTGTTTTACGTTGCATTCATGCATTCACTCAACAGTGAAATAAAGGAAAATAACTACAAAAAAGAATGCACATACCACCTGCGGATCCTCAGTAGATCATTGGAGATATTCTACGGGAAGTAAGCTTTCTTGTAAGATTCACATACCACCCAGTTGGGCGACGGAGTGAGAATATTCTAGGTTCAAGAAAATCAATTATGGCGAGAACAATCTGTGGAAGCCAAAATTTTCCACAGATTTATGAATTACAGAAATAAAAAAAACGAAAGCCATTACACATGAGGACAACTTAGAAATTCCCTTGGTGATTCCAATTTAGGATGACTTCAGGAATCAATTAGTCAAAGCTTATCTATAACAGCAAATGTTTGTCTTTTTTTAGGTTGTGCACCGATGAAGAGTTGATTTAGGGGTTCCTTACGTGATGTATAGCAACAACGTACATCCCATTTGTCTAATGGTATACAGGAAGAGAAGTCACGTGACGAAAGAAAAAAAGTGAAGGGAGCTGGATAAGGTGGAAGGGAACTTATTAAATCTATTTACACGAAAACAAAAAAAAATATAGCCATTAATGAAATCATTGGAGAAATTATATCCCAAATAGTTTCTATACCAGAGTAGGCCCATCCTCAAGCTTACGAAAAAGGGCATTGAAAAGCGCTTCATCCATTAAATTGAGTCCGATTCTCTAAATTAAAGCTGAAATACAGTAGTAGTGCATCCTTTCCAATTAACAGATTGAATTGGAGTTCAATCTGAGGTCGAAGACTATTGTGTATAGACATGGACAGCAAACACCATTCCATAAACGCCCACTAAGGCCCGGATACTTCCAGGAAGACATCCCATAAAGACTTTTAACTTGCGATCAAGAATTTCTATATGGTTTTTCCACAAGCGACTAGATTTTGTGTCCTTCCTGAGTTTCCATAGTTTGATGAAATGGCAGACATACACAATTTACCAGAATCCAAATGTGAATAACAGGAGATTCTGCAAAACGCACTATAGATGTTGTTCTTGACACAGTACTTCACTAGATCTACCTATGGCAGGGTAAGGCCTTTGTACTTTGTGTACATGACACAAGTGCCGGTTTCGGGTCTTTCAATACTATGTTTGTCAACCCTATATATTATCTGCATTCAACAGTGGATTTTAAATTTCAGAAAAAATAAAATAAAGATAAATTTTAAGCTCAATAGATCGCATTCATCTCCAAATTTACTGAAATTTCTGAATTAGACATTTGATTCATAAATCATAACATATATGCACACCTTTGCAGCAATGCAGGTGCCTTCAAAAGCCAAATTAGCCAGTGACAGTACACGGTCTGCATGATCAGTTAGCAACTCAGAATACCATCCAAGGAAGAATCTACCATAATAGCTGTCATAGTCTCCTCCATCACGAAAGAATCCTGTTTCATGAGGTTGAGAATTGTATGAGCCTGCATTATCTGGCCCTTTTGCCCAGAATACGTGGCCTCTCACTTCTGCTGCCTTTCTCAGACTCTTCAGCATGTACTTGTCATAACACTGCAGGTGAAAGATATTCTAGAATGTGAGGATATGCTCATTAAATGCTCGGATCACAAAAAGAGGGGAAAATGACAAGCGTCAAATACTCTGACGACAATGCCTAAGCAAGGAAGGCCCCTTAAGAATGATCTGTCCACTGAAATGATGAGGATTCCACAATATAAATGCAGATTCTTCTCAAAAAGTCTCTTCACATTGGATTCTAAAACTTAGTGGGTGAATATTCACTCAAATCACCTCCAAAAAAATGTCATGACATCAGATTAAGTTTCAGAGGCAGAAACACGTGAAAGGAAATCAGTTAAGTACAAACCCCAGTATTTAGAATTCACACAAGTATTTTAATCTGAAGTACACAATTACTATTGATAGTGGCAGAATCCTCGAGGAAAAACAAATCCTTCGTGGCTCATTGTTAAGTTGAAAAGAACACGCTGCAAGGAAGTGAGACACTTGAGCAAATGAGTAAAAATTGTTTCAGTCATGATTCACTTTGCATCTTGAGTGCCGAATTCAGAATTAGAACAGTACTTTCCCCATGGAGTCTGGGCACTTCTACAAAGGCGCACGACATATTTGGCACAAAGACAATCATAGATGTCTCCATTTGAGGATTTCGGAAGGTCTACTTTTCAGAATTGTTTTACAGAATTCTCTGTCAGGTAACCAGAAATAAATCCAAAATAGCTTCTTGGTGACACGCTACATTCGTCAATGAATTTCCTAGGTAATTAAGAGAGCCCTAATTGGACACAAAATAACATTCTGTTACGAAGCCAACCGTCGTCTACACGAGACGACCTAGACCCCCACGTGGAGGGGGGACCACAACAGAATAAGGTACTGAGGCCTATAAATATAGAAGAGGCCGAAATAAGGGGGGGGGAAGAAAACAAAGAGTGGAGGGGGAGATCTTTCAATCGCTAATGACCCAAATATTTCAACATCAATTGAGACGATTCTTACTGGTTTTCTTTGATGATATACTTGTGTAAACCATGACTAAACACCTGCAGCATATGAGAAAGGTATTTTCCATTCTCTCAACAAATTCTCATCATATTAATGCCAAGAAATGCAGATTTGGAGAAAGCAAACTAGAGTATTTGGACAATTGGGTGTCAGCAGAAAGAGTAGAAGTCGTTAAGGAGAAGATATCTGCCATGACTAATCGGCCAATTCCTAGAAATCTTAAGGAACTCCGTAGGTTCCTAGGGCTCACTGGATATTATAGAAAATGTATTGCCAACTATGCTTCAATTGCATGGCCACTAACACAATTACTAAGAAAATATGCATTTTGTTGGTCAGGAGAAGCACAAGTAGCCTTCTCAACCCTTAAACAAGCAATGACTATGGCTCCGGTATTAGCATTACCAAATTTTTCACAAGAATTTATCATGGAAACTGATGCTTCTAGATCAGGTGTTGGGGCCGTTCTCATGCAACAAAGGCGCCCAATAGCTTATTTCAGTCAAGCACTTCCAAGAAGAGCCCAATTAAAATTAGCCTATGAACGAGAGTTGATGGCTATAGTGTTGGCAGTAAGGAAATGGAGGCATTATCTTATGTGTCAGCATTTTATGATTTAAACAGACTAGTACAGTCTTAAATTCTTACTGAAACAGAAGGAAATCCATGTTGAATATCATAAATGGTTGGTGAAATTGATGGGCTATAGTTTTGAAATTAAATATAAGGGAAGAACAACCAAGCCCAGATACATTATCCCAATGTCCATCATTACTGCAAGCTGAACTAAATGAGACAATAGCACATCACGCTATTGATCTCGAAGCTGTCCATCTGGCAGTAGACCAAGACACTAAGCTTGCAGAGATTAAAACTTCCTTGTCTAAGAAGATACAACCAACGAATTATATTCTTTGAAGGATGGATCCTTGCTATATAGCGAAAGGTTGGTTCTGCCAACACATTCCCCTTTAATTATCAGAGTGTTACAATTATTTCATGACAGCCCGGTAGGGGGCCATTCTGGATTTCAGAAGACATATCATAAAATTTCGCAACAATTCTTTTGGCAAGGAATGAAGAGAGATATAAAGGCATATATCAACAATTGTCCTACTTGCTTACAGTGCAAATCTTCTTCACTATCCCCAGTCATTGCCTATACCTACCCAAATATGGGAAGATCTTTCAAAGGATTTTATTGAAAGCTTACCTAAATCACATGGGTCGAATGCCATATTAGTAGTCGTGGATAGATTAAGCAAGTACAGTCATTTCATTGCCCTACATCATTCATTCTCAGCCAAGGAGGTTGCTCAATTATTCATCAAGGAAATCGTAAGGCTCCATGGGTTTCCAAAGACAGTGGTCTCCGACAAGGGACGAATATTCTTGAGTACATTTTGACATGAACTACACACACTACAGGGAACTGAACTCAAATTCAGCTCCTCTTACCACCCTCAAACAGATGGACAAACTGAAGTTGTCAATAGGTGCTTGGAAAATTACTTGAGATGTGCAGTATTTGATAAACCAAAGCAATGGAAAATTATGGCTTCATTGGGCAGAATATAGTTACAATACTTCCTATCATTCTTCCACTAAAAATTCCTTTTCGAGCAGTATATGGCAAGGACCTGCCAAAACTTATCAAATATGGAACATCCCCTTCACCACTTGACACCATCGATCAACTACTCACGGAACGAGATGTTATCCTTAAGATTTTGAAAGTCAACTTGCACAAGACATCAGTGAGGATGAAATTTAATACAGATAAGCATCGTTGAGAAGTGGAACTAGAGGTGGGTGATTTGGTCTTTCTCAAGATCAAACCACACAGGATGAAATCTCTGACAAAAAAGGAAAACGAGAAGTTAAACCCTCGCTATTTTGGTCCGTATCTTATTATGGAAAGAATTGGACCAGTGGCATATAAACTCCAATTGCCCAACCATTCAGCTGTTCATCCGGTGTTCCATATATCCCAACTTAGGAAGACACTAAGAACAGACAATAGAAGTCAACCAATTCCCCCGACACTGCCAGAAGAACAAGAATGGATACTCATTCCACATGGCATAAAAGCTCACAGGTCGATTCCTCAAGACACAGAGATTTTAGTTTCATGGAAACATCTTCTAGAGTTTGAATAGTCATGGATGACAATATCAGCATTCCTACGACAATTTCCTACATCTCACCTTGTGGACAAGGTGAAACTCATGGGGGAGAGTAATGTTACGAAGCCAACCATCGTCTACACAAGACGACATAGACCCCCATGTGGACGGGGGACCACAACAGAATAAGGTACTGAGGCCTATAAATATAGAAGAGGCCGAAATAAGAAGGGGGGGGGGCAGAAAACAGAGAGTGGAGGGGGAGATCTGTCCCTAGAGAGGTCCGATTCGGGCTCTCTTGCTCTTGAGGATCGATCCAACCTCAGGAACTCACCCTACTGTCTGCGAACCTCTATTGTCTTTCCAATTTCATTTTCAATTGTTCAATTTGGTTCTTCTATACACAGAGATCTGATTCCCTGAGTGAGCCTCGTCTAAGGTAAGATTAGGGTGAAGATTTCGCCCCAAATCTTGAGAGGTTCGTAACACATTCCCGAGGAAGTAACGATGTATTAACAGAAGGTCAGTGTGCCCATAAAAACCTCGAATCACTAGTAGATTGACAATCTCCTACAATAAAACAAGCCAAATTAAGGCTGATGAACCAAGAAATTACCCAAAAATGGATCTTGGTCTATTTGAGATTGTTCCTTTTAATCGTAATCAAAGATGTTTTTTTGTTTGGATTGTCTTTCTTTTCCGAACAAAGAAAATCGAAGAACCTAATGGATCGACCTAATCCAAAGTTAAATAAAGATATTGGAATGTAAGGCAATGAAAATACACACCTGAAATTCTCCAATGCCAGGGTATCTCCAACCATGCTTAACTGGATAGGATGGGTAACGTAACTCTCCACAGGGACCCAATCCAACTTGAATCTCAGAAATCACTCTATCTTCAAAAAACTCATCAAACTCTACACGGAAGCTTCTCATGAAATCAAAATATACCTGCAAAGTTAAGGACAATGTAACAACATTAAATACTCCTTTTGAGTTAGAGGAATATAGAAACCTACACAGAGAAGATGATACCCCATTGTTAGAGCAGTACAGCCATCATTATCTTTTTTTAATGGGTAAAAACTCTATTGTCGATTAAAATTTACATGCATCAACTAAGATGAGTCAAGAGGGACCTGGCCTGGAAACTGAACCATACTATTAAACATCAATCACACACACAAAAAGAAACCCGAATATATCTTGTGGTACACATTTCTTTTACAGATGTACAGGAATTAGTGATGACCACCAACCAGCACACCAGTGATCGGTACCCGAAAGTTAGAAGTCAGATTTATGGTGCTGAAGTGGCACTTATATGACACACATGCAACCCAAACTCTACAAAAATATCGGGGTCAGTTGATTCCTTTCTCCAAGCACGAATAAGAGTCGCATTTACATCACACAAGTTGCATAGTTAAATATTTCAAGGATGATTATTTTTTTTAAAGTAGGTTTATTCATGAAAATAAAAAAATGAAAGTTAAATCAGTCTCAGTCAAGAATTTGGTCCATTTTTCCCATGGTCGGATACCAAGACAACCAACATAGGTTCCACTTTCCTCAAGATGAATCATTGACTTTTCTGAGGATAACAAATCAAAAGACGCAAAGTTATGAAACAAGAGTGTAGTTCCCTTTAGATCTCAACAATTTTGGCTGAGTTAAAAATCCAGTGTCACGGGGACAATACTTAGGAGCACATTCCCAAGTTCACATTTGTTAAGAATATATTAATATGACCGAAACTCAAAATTTAAATTCCTATCCATGCAAACTTTAAGATATCATCATTGATAATTGGAAGTTTGTAAACGTTAAATGACCTTTGTCAATATCAAGACCTAGTGAAAACTTTCAAGTACAATCAATGCAACAAATCTGAAATTACTTGAATTATGATAAGATTCAAGGTACACATTTCGATCCAATCCCCGTTTCGAAAACTTTCTTCGCAAATAGCTCAAATATAAAAGATGAAAGTGTCTCACAATGTTGCACCAAAAAAAGTGCCCAACCAGTTTTGCAGATTGAGATATTTTCTTCAGCTGAAGTGATAAATGTTGAAGCAAGCAAATATCCAACCAGTATGACAAACACATACCTCAACAGCTGTTCGGCCTCTTAAAACCCTTTCCTTATCAATTCCCCATGTAAGGCATTCAGGGTTGCGTCTTCCCTCCCTATCTGTAAAGAAAATGTCTGGATTGCTTCGACCGATTTCAGACACCCAGTGTGGAAGAGGGATACAAACATCATCGCCAACATTGCCCCCGCATTCATGAAATGACATAACCACCTGGAAATTAGAATTGAAAAAGTACACAGATTAAATTTAATACCTTTAACATTCACATTCGTTAGAAAACCAAAGATGAATTTCTGGTTGAAATTAATTCATTTATGCGGAATTTGGTCAATAGCTGAACAAAAAAGTTGCAAAATAAGTGAAAAATGACGGAAAAAACGAGAAAACTATAAAATGTTGCTACATTTGCATCACCAAGAATGATAAAGAAATAGAATCCATCATCAATAAATAAATAAAAACTACAGTTAACGGGAACGTGAATCATACAACCTTTAATTCTACAGAGAAAATTCAAAACTTATAAAGATATATATATCGTTACAGTTTGGGTACTTGATGTGCACAGGTCATAGGGGGAGCACCAAATGAAATGTAAAATAGTTTCGGCTTGTACCTTTTCACTATCACGAAATTTATGCCCTCTTTTCACCACAGTTTTGAGGCATCTAATGATCTCTCTTCGTATGTTTCCCACTCTTTGCTTCTTATCAAAAATCTCCATTTTAATAATAAAATATAAATATAATGGATTTGTATAGTTTTAGTCTTCTTGGTTTTGTTAGTAGATACAGATAAGAGATTAGTTCACTAATCGCCATTGAGGGCCATCCTTTTGAACAGAACCTAGGTATGGTAAAACTCCAGTGTAGAAAATAAGAGCTTGGTGTTAAAGGTAAATTGCCACATAAGAGATGCTGTCCCATCTTCACTTAACCGCTAATCCTGAGCAAAAATAAGTATTCCAGGGATAAACCTTAAAAAAAAATTAACACTATTGCGGATACAATGAATCAAGCCATCAGACATTGTAAAATATCAACGAAGATTGAGCTCACCTGCAATTTAAGCTTGAGATCACGTACAATTTGGAAAAGCCTTTTATACCCCTGCCAGTTATATTCTTGTGGAACATGCGCCTCAACTATTCCCCACCAACAATCAATCATAACACCATCAACATTAGCAGACTTTAATATACGCAGTTGCTTCGTCAAGACATCTGGATCCACAAGCTCACACTTCATATTGATAACTCCCAACTGTCATTACATCAAGGCCAATGAAATCATATAAATCTAGCAGTTTTCGAATTAAACAATAAGAATGACTAGACAACAGAAACCATCATGGCGCAGCCCAGCGTTCATTAAATAATGCATGAGGCGTCCACGTCCGTGAAAAAACAAAAACAAGACAACTCACCGGTAGCATCACGTATACACGGACATAAGGTGTGCCAGCAAAATCACGGTCCTGCATTAATAAAGGTGCATCCTGCTGCTGACACACAATCAGACGTAAAATAACCAGCAGATCAGTATATGGATGTGCACACCCAAATCTTCCTCCCATGAGCAGTGCAGCATTAGGGATAAACCGTTGCACTGATCACATCATGAATTGGTTATTTGCGGCTCACCTGCTTATCGTCGGCTCCATCCATGCAGCTGCCAACCAGAGGGGAATCTTCCGCGGCCCTCTCAGCTCTGACCTCCGAGGACGCCCGGGACCGACCGGACATCTCGCTGGGACTGGGGACATACACTCCCCTCAACCGGCAGGATCGAAAGTCCGTCGAGGACTGGGCTCCGGCTGGAAAGACTCCCCGCAGCGGCACTGGGTTCTGAGCCGGAGACATGGAAGCCAGGGCCCCCGTTGGTGTCCCAGGAGGCCTTCCCGCCTGCAACATCTGGACGGAGAAGAAGCCCATTCAGCGCGTCTTCGTTTAGAGAAGGAAATCCCAAGGGGCCTGGCTGATAAGGAGTATCAGTTCGATCATCGGCCATGATGACAGAGGCCCCGAGAGGACGACTAAAACAGGCGGAAAAGAAGGTGACGAGATCCACGTGGCATCGTATCACGAAACCAGCTAGGGCCCATCCGTGAGGGGTTCCGTCTAAGCTTCCTTACCGTCCACTCAATGGACGCTATGCCGAGCCCAAGCGCCACACAATCCCCGACGATGCGGCCCCTTCTTCAATGTCCATCGGGCCGTTGATTTCGGATCGGGCGGACAGTAAAAGGCATGATAAAGGGCTACTAAACCATTGTTCCAGCCTACATCCCATTCTGGGAGAACCATCCAGAGGAGTTCGACTGGATCTAGTAGGCAGGGTTTCCTCTTCCACAGCCGGGGAGAAGGAGAAGGAAGAGAGAGAGAGAGAGAGGGAGATCGCAGGGGACGAACCTGGGAGTTGGTGGCTCGAGCAGGGAAGGTGGTGCCGTCGGGGAGGACAGTCCAGCCGGCCTCCCTGGCAAGGGCGGCGATTACCTCGTTGATGTCCGCTCTGACACGCAAGTTGTAGTTGCCGTGCCGCCGCAGGCCGGACAGTATCCGCGCGGTGATCGCCCGCCGGTGCCTCTCCCGGAGCTTCGTCCTCTCCTTCTCCTCCTTGGGCCGGCATCTCCTCATTCCAACGCCGCTGGCGCCGCCCGCCCCGATCATCATCATCTGCTTCTGCTGTTGATCTCCGTCGGCAGTACCGATCTGAGGATGCTGATGCTGCTGGAATGGGCTCCCATGGCTGTTCGCAAATTCCTTACCCGCCGCCGCGCCTCCGATCACAACTGACCGGCTGTACGCGCCTTTGTCGTTATCGTCGTCGTCGTCGTCGTCGTCGTCGCCGTCGTCTTCATCCTCCTCCTTCACATCCATATCCAGGTCCTCCTCATCCTCATCACTCGTTTCTCCCAATTTCTCCATCTCCGGAGTCATTACGCGCTCCCGAGCTCAGAAACCTAGCTGCCGGTCCCTTTCCATGCCGATGAGACCTATCATTTGATTTTCGGAGAAGATGCGGTGCTTGGTGGATAGCGGGGCTCTTGACCTGAAATTTCTGCAGAATGCTAGCTCCGAAGCTCCGATTCCCGCTCTTCTGAAGCCTTCATCGCTCGATTGATGACCAGATCGCCGTCAAAAACAGCACAGATCATCTACAATCGATGAAAGCCCTCCCTCCTCCCCCTCCCGGGGCACAACCAGATATTGCAGGCGGGACCTCACCGACTGGCCGGCTCCGGCGACGTCCCGCAGACGCCGGCGATCTTCCCGGCGGCAGGCTTGGAGATTCTCCGGCGGAGGAGCTCACCGGAGGGAGCGGTGTATCCCGGCGGGCCACGCCGGCGGGGCCACCGGCGACGTCCCGTGCGAGGCGAGGTCGGGACGAGAAGCTCTAGGGTTTCGCTCGTGTGCGGCCGCGTGTTTGCGCTTATGTTTAGCACGGACGCCTTCTCCGCGTGCGGGGCTAGGCTTGTGGGAACGACGGCGATAGATCGGACGGCTGCTGGTTTGACACGTACGCACGTGCCTATCCTCGTGCGGGGGCCCGCGCAGGTTGGGCGCGCCGAACCCAGCCGTTGGCGAGATTCGAGCTCACCGGTCTGCTCCTCTCTCTCTCTCTTCGCCTCCTCCATCTGCGACCGCGCGTGCGTGACTCGGTGCAAGGACGACGATTTGAAATAAAGCGAAACGCTGGGCCGTTTTAACGCTGCCGACAGACCCGCTTTAGTTACGGCAGTAGGTCATCGAGTGGTCAAACGATTGCCCTCACTTGAGAGAAATTCTGATAAAATTTAAATATAATTTAATGAAACCAGTTTGTATATAATGCACACTTTACGGGACTTATGATTAATTAAATGGATATTTTTGAAACATTTTTATAGTTGCTTCGTGCATATGGAAGCGTGATGAGGGATTTACCATATGAAATATCACTTTGCAGAAATTGGGTTAAAAGGAGAGGCTAACACGTTGCATCTTCAAAAAATAGAAAAAACTATGCCTGCATATAAAAGGCATCTAACAACCCAAAATTTCAACTTTCCAACTATAACCACCGAATATATGAATTGCTTACATACTTTAAATGAAAATGATTAAGCTTTTGAATGATTTTATATAAATATTTAACTCCAAAAATTATGAATAAAAATATCATGGGACGGACTTTGTGGCTTTAAGATGAGGCCATAATCTTTTGTGGATTAATTTGAAATGGAAGGTAAAATCTAGTAGCAAAATAACTTTCACTTTGCTTGCAACTAACATATTTCAAAGGTGGATTATAGAAGAACCTAGGGATTTGGCTAAATGTGTATGGTTTTCTACCAACTTGTAGACTAATGAGTCACTGTTTTAAGTGATTAATTCCCACTTCATATGCTTCTCCATATACTTGAGGACCCATAGAATGTAGGGTTGTATTGGCCTAGCTACTCATTCCAAACAAACATAAGTCTGCCTCAAGTAAGCCTCTCCTTTTATGATTCGGAAAAAAAATAAAGTCCATTTAAATTGATATTGGATTAAACCCAATCATTTTCATGAAGAATTTTGGTTCCTTATTTTTAATATAGTGGTAATAATGCACCTTAAATTATAATTTTTCTTATAAATATTTGGTAAAGTTGTGTATTGAGGGATGATTTTTTTTTCTTACAAAATAAAAGTAAGGTATTATTTTTTTCTGGAAAATTTCACTTATTTTATCATTGTTGATTTCAAAGACAACATGTATTTTGTTGTTTGTGTCTCCTTCTTATAATTGCTCAAGTTGAGCATGTTGATAGTCATGCAATCACCTAAAGTAGCCTTTTTATCAATCTTGGCCCACTAGGTTTTGGTCATCTTAAGAATACAATGAATCTTAAGAAAAAAACTTGGATCAATTAACAACACGTGACAGCAATTTTATTGTTTGGTGAATCCAAGGTGCACTTGTCTTTTTTCAAGTAGCTTTCTTATACCTATTCAGCTAGGTGGGGCATTGGGCATAGCTGAAATTCGTTGAGGGAAAAAACATATAGTTGAATCTAAAAGGAACCAATGGTGCTTGATCATCATTACATTACACATGTGAAAGAGAGAGTTCACTAAGAATGATGATGTGTTGTATTTCCTTAGAACACTAGTACCAATGTAAGTTTCACAGGGAAATTACGTTGTCTTATTCCTTTCATCCTATGAAGATTTATGTAGATCTCCAAGACTTTATACCGACTCTAACCTATGAAAAAAAATAATTCCATTAGGCATCTCGTTGGTTTTGAGATAATGATTATGTTTGACAAGTCAACTCATTCTAAATTTTGTACTATGTTCATGGCATGACTTAATGCAGCTTTGTGTTCTTGATCTGTTAGCATATGAAATACCCAGAATTGCATGAGCCCATTATTTGGGCACTTACTTTTCCTAGTTAGCACCGCTAAGAAGAAGCAAGGAAACTTGTTATTTCATCCCCACTATTAGACACTAATGGGCTTTGTGAATTTTGTCCCCTCGCTAGGAACTTGCATCCTTGCTCCGCCAACGGGGGCAGGCATGAAATCCGCAGCAGTGACCTTGATGCAGTGGAGTTCATGGTGGTGGAGAGCGGTGAGGACTTGTATGATATATCTAGGAACCACGCCCAAGATTGCACCTAGTTCTATTCCTTGGTGCCATCTCTGCTGCCCGCTCCTGGCACTTCAAGTCGCCTTGTTCCTTGGCACCGACGTGGCCTTGGAGTCACCATCTCGCACACTGTCACGGATGGCAGCACGACGACATACTTCCTAAAGGTGTGGGTGGCGGCTTGCTGACTGCTTGTAGGCGACATGGTGGTGCAGCCGTCACCATCTTATGACAAGAGCATTATCTGAGATCCTAGGGACTTGGATAGTATCTTCCTCCGTGTTGACGACGTTAGTCCATCATAGCTGACCCATTCAGGAGACGTGTGAGAGGACCTCTCCCGTCTGACTCGCTCGAGAGACATGTGAAGTAAGGGGATGATGACACAGTAGTCACGTCGACCCTTATGACCTATTTGGGGTGGTGTAGAGAGAGAACGAGGGTGGTTGCAACGTCACATTTGAGATGTATAGCCTCAATTACACATAGATCGAGATGCTTCTTTTTATAGAGCAATTATCTTTTTATGTTTTATATAAATAAGATATATATTTCCTCTTTTTTGAGTACGATAAACTACAATTTCTCTCTTAATTCTATTTTCTCTCTCCATCAACTTTATTCCTCTTTTTAGTATCCTCTCTCTCTTCTATTGTAGGTAAAGTTTTTATAGAAGTAGATAATAATCTATTGTTAATTTTCTAGTGAGTCATCTCAAAGGCATTGAGACATGGATTAGAAGTATTTTGTAGAAGTCTTATTCTCATCAAGATTCCTTATAGTTTGGTGATTTCTCTTCTATTTATTTTCATTGATATCCAGAAATTAAGTTTTCGTTGTTATTGTAACCATGTGCTTGCATGTTTTCTCCTACAATTAATATTAGAGCTAGGTTTGATTATTTCTAAATTTATTATGACTTCTAAAGTTCATACTAACATCTAGAAGTTGGATAAGTCTTTTAATTTTAATCTATGAAAGCATCGTGTGTATGATGCATTATTGTAGATTGACTTGTATAAGATTTTAGATGGTCCAAAGTCAAACAAGATCAATGTTGATGATTGAGAGATAATAGAGAAGAAGACTGGAGATTTTATTCGTATATGTTTGTCTGATTAGACTCTTTAGTAGGACATAGATGAATATAATCCAAAAGAACTCTGAAAAAAATTAGAGAAACGATGTCCACCAAAGTCAATGATGAACAAATTGACATTAAAGAGAAAGCTATTCAAGTTACGAATGTCAGATGGAGATGATTTTACATCTCATATTGATTATTTTAATCAATTACTGAATGATTTACTTCATATGAAATCAGATTTTTTTTAATGAGAACAAAATTATTATTCTACTTGTTTCTTTCTCTAATTCATACGATCTTTTTGTTACGACCTTATTGCATGACAATACATACTTATTCTCGAAGATGTTATTAACTCATTGATAGAGTATTATCATCAAAAGAAGTATGTTGGTGAGGCTCGTTATGAAGGTTTAGAAGTGAAGTGTGAAAGAGAATGTGAAAGACAGAAGGAGAAATAATCTTTAGGAGACAAAAAGAGTTAGTCTAAATCACAGATAAATTAGTTGAAAAATTAAACTTATCACAAGTGTCATGAGAAGGGACACTTTCAAAGAGATTGTCTGAAGAATTAGAGTGATAAGACAACAAATGGTAAATCTAATTCAGCTAATGTTGCAAAAATTGAAGATAGAGAAGATGGTGAAGTTTATTATGAACTTATTGCAATTGAGGAGTTGTCGAACACATGGATTCTTGATATTGATTATTCTTATCATGTGTCATAATACTGACTGATTTAACTCATACATGAATACAACAAGATTCAAATATTTGATAGAATAGTTCGAGAGCTTGAAAATATTTGTCATGTTCTAATATTACACCAAAAATTAATTTTGTTTGGAGTATTGGAGACGAATGAATATTACTTCAAAAGAGAGAATGAGATCCTCAAGATTATAAAGGGATCACTTATTGTGATGAAAAGAAAATATCAATAAGTAAATATTTATAAATATGAGGAGAGTATTGTTGTAGGTGAAGTTTGGGTTACGACATCGACTTATTTCATGATTGATGACACAATTTAATAGTACTTACGATTGAGTCATATGAGTGAGATAGGTATGCATACACGAGGATTGTTAGTTGGTGTGAGAATTTGTAAATTGAATTTTTATAAGTATTATACCATAAAAAAATAATGTAGGGTAACATTCAAGACAAAAAAGTATGATACAGGTGGTGTGTTGGATTATGTTCATTCAGATATATATGGTTCGATTAACGTGACGTCGATGAGTGATGTTCGATATTTTATAACCTTTGCAGATGATCTTTTCAAGAAAGTTTAGGTATTCTTCTTAAAGCACAAGTCTGAAGTATTTGTAAAGTACAAGACTTGATACAAAAGTGAAGAATAAAACGGAGAAGAAGATCAAAGTCTTGTGGACTGACAATGGTACATAATTTAAGAATTCTAAATTTTATCAATTTTATGATAAACATAGTATTCAACGTCATTAAACGGTGAAGAAAACTCTGCAGCAAAATGGTATTGTTGAGGGGATGAACCGCATGACTATTGGAGAGCACAGTGTTTACGGCTAAATGCCGTCTTGTCCAAAAAAAATAGACGAAAACTGTGAGTATAACAACTTATTTGGTAAATAGATCATCAAATTCTGCTCTTGATGAGAAAGTTGTTGAAAAGGTATGGACTAGAAATCTTATTAACTATTTGAATTTGTATATATTTAGATGTCCAAGATGTGTTCTTACACCTACTGATGAGAGATTGAAGCTAGATTCAAAGTCGAAAAAATATATCTTCTTAGGCCATAACATTGAGGTGAAGGGATATTGACTTTAGAATTCAGAGGTGAAGAAAGTTATTTTCAATAGGGATGTGATTTTTGATGAAGATCACATGTTAGAGTCCTTTTCTACATAATAGAAGGTTCATGAATCTGATGATACTCGAGT